TTAAAGTTTGGCTATGAGCTAAACTTTATTCATTAATAAAATGAAGTATCAAATACTATTAGTAACAGCTATAAGACTTAATTAGCCCGAAGATGATCTCAATCTTTGAATACATAGTTATCGGAGTTTAATTGCATTATAAGATATGATTATCATCACAGTAAATTGATAGTTTCTGCTTATTTCTGGCCTATAATACCTGCTAGAAAATCGATTGATAACCACTCATGTACAGTATAGTGTCGTGGATGCTTAGAATCAATTAGGATTTCAATTGGGAGCATAAAATAGAGCTAGATATAATAGAAAATTAGCAATCACTTCTATACCTTCAAGAAGATGCATAGCTAGATGATGTCTAATAATTTTAAATGTCTTCTATAAAGTATGCTAAGGAGTAGGTTGGCAGGTATCAGTTTATGTGTAAGAAATATACCTTTGCAATTCTGTTGAGTATTTATTGACCCAAAGTTAGATTCAAACATTACATTCCAATATTTCGTTTTTTAATTACCAGTATCATGTATTATTAGCTCAGTAGTACACGTTAATCATTTTTGATTATTGAAGAAAAGAAAACTTGCACTATTATATTTATGCTTTATTCAATCATAATTAAATAAAACGTATTTCTATTTTAGTGTATTATAAAGAAATAAAGAGTTGAATGAACTTTTAGATCAGCCTCTACTAGTCAAGACAATCTAGATTCGTTAAGATCCCATAAATGTTAGTACGAAATCGTACAATGATAGTATTAAATTCTCAGTTTTGATAAGTTTTCAAAGTTATTGCAGAAGGTAAGGAAGATACGACATGTATAAAATAAAGTTGACTTATGTTCATCGGTGGGAACTTTAAATTAATGGAAGGCGATAAAAAGTATTGTAATTATTGTCCATTTTTGGGACATAATTCAGTCAAGTATCAATAGTTAAATTATTATAGTTTACTATTATAAGATTGTAATAATTTAACGGGTCTTGTTGATGGTCATTACATATTTTGTATTAGTTAAGAGCAAGCTTTAATTATTTCCGGTTAAAGTTCGCCAGGTGAGCGATATACGAGTATTTTCCGTTTTGCTGCATGTCATTTATTTCGAATGTATGTGTATATTCGAAATAATAAGCAAAAAATAAGTTGAAGTGGTTTCGCTGTTCTATAGGTTTCGATTTCTACCAGATTAACTACATGATGAAATCAGGATAACTGTAGAAGAGATTAATATCGTTAAAAGACAATATCCTTAATATGGTTCTACAGTATAATAAAATTATCATAGTAGTAATTTTGATCCGTCGTAAAATAGCAATTGAATATCTATTAAGAGCATAAATAGGAGTAGTAAGTAAGTTCTCTAATATTCTTTCGTGTCACTTTATTATAGTTTTAATTTGGTCTATTTTAGAGTAACAACTAGATAGCCACTAACTCTATTAATAGCGAAAGAGAGCTCTATCATTATCTCTTACCAAACTTATTATAGTAACAATTTAGTCCTGCTAACTTCAGAATAAGGATTGGATAACTATATATCCCACAAATAGTGAGAAAGTACCTATCTTGATTACATATCGAAGTTATTATAGCACAAATTTGATCCGCTTTAGAATAAGAATGGGATAACAATTAACCTGTTAAATAGCGAACAGGTTCTCTATCAATAATCTGTATTTAAGTTACAGTATTCGTAGCTTGATCCATAATAATGACTAGATTGTAATAAACACTATAAATAGTACGCAAGCTATCTAAGACTAAATGGCTAGTGAAAAATGACACCGTATCCGATGTAGCTACTTTGATAAATTAATCATGATTTCGTATTACTACGTCTATCACGAATTCGAAGACATAAGTCATACATTGACGTTTTTACATTTTTATCGAAAATCAAGAATATAAATGGATTTATCAAGTAGGATACGGTATTACTCGCAAACGATATAAAGTTGGCTACAAAAAATTGGGGATTGTTAAAGAGTAGCTGAAATTGGCTTTGATTGAGTATTGAATAAGTCAACATAGTCATAATATAGGGCAATGTCAGTAATGTTTGTGCCAGTGTTGCGACAATAAAAACTCGAATAACGCTTCGTGTACGATTAATAGAAGCTTCGCGGTCATGAGATATAGCAGTGTTATCAGATATTTGAGAAGATAAACTGATAACGATACGGTTATAATTCCTTAACATTATTATTCCTGGAATCAAGTACACGAATAGCAAGGTAATCGAAAAATAGACAACGTTGAAGATGTTACCATAAGGGAAGCCAAAGTCACAGTTGTTCGTGGCTGAATTATAAGTTCCTATTAGGAAAGCAGGGGTAGCGAATATGACGCTTATAAGCCAAGACAGTATAATAAACTTAGTACAATGTTTAAAAATAGTTGTATCTCGAAATGTTAACGGACAAGTAACGATTTTAAATCGATAGATACTTATCATAGTTAAACTTGTAATAGAGGTATTGATCGATGTAACCGTAAGTCCATATGCTATTGGACATACAACAACACCTACAGGTCTAGGCATTGAAACGGTTGAGATTGATGTACCGATATATGTATATTGTATGATAGATGAAATAATATCGGATATAGATACATTAATAATAAAGTTATAAGATAAATCGTGTAAATTTTTAGAGAACGCCACGATTACCACTAAAGCGATATTACTAACCGATACCAATGTCGTAACGCAAAGTTGGACGACTAAAAAAGCAGAGCTTTCTGACGTGTATGTATTAGTATTATTATTAAGCATAGTCGATGAGATAGATGCTTTTAATCTACCTCTATTGCAAAATATCGATGCGATTAAGTGTGCTTATTTGGCCGTAGAATGATTGAACTTGTTAATACTTGATTGCAATCTAACGTTTCTTGATTAAATAAAGTCTGGGAACACGTTCAACGATTAAAGAGAATTTCTAATTTTACTCATGTACCCTAAGCCGTGTTGTAATTATCCCAAGTGAATTAGGGCTTTAAATTTATCAGCTATAACATCTGGTAGTAGTGTTTCAAATCAGTTTTCTATGCTTAATTGAGCAATTTTCTCTTGGCTGCTACGTAATCGTGTATCCATTGTTATTCATTAGTAGAAGGTATTGTTAATGCTACTCTGAAAAGTGGAAAGCAATTGTAAAATTATCATTACAACGTTAAGTAAGGGTTAATTGAATTGCTTCTTGTTTTAATACTCCTTTACAATGTTAGTAGGTAGTGTTAAATTATTGTCAATTTTAGCTATGGAGCTAAACTTTTATTAATTAAAAAAGTATAGTATCAAATACTATTAGTAACGGCTATGAGGCTTAATTAGCTCGAAGATGATTTCAATCTTTCGACATGTAGTTATCAGAGTTTAATTGTGCTCTAAGATACGATTTTCATTACAGTAACTTGCTAGTTTCTACTTGTCTTTGGCCTGTAATACTTACTAGAAAATCGATGGATAACAATTCACGTACAGAATTATGTTTTGGAGAGCTTGAAATTAATTTCAATTTAAAGCATAAAATAGAGCTAGATACGGTAGAAGTTAGTAGTTAATCGATTTTATACCCACAACGCATAGCTATAATGATTGCCTATTAATTTTAAATTTGTTCTTCAGTAAATACGCTATAGAAGGTATCGACAGGTACAAGTTTATAAATAGGAAATATATCTCTTCCATACTATTGAGTATTTATTGGCCCCAAAATCAGAATCAAACGTTACATTACAATACATCATTTTTTAATTATCAGCTTCATTTATTATTAGCTCAGTACTACACATTCATCAATGCTGATTATTGAAGAAAATTGTATTATTATAATTAAGTAGTATTCAATTATAATTTAAATAAAAATATTCCTATTGTTGCTCCTTGGATTGTTTGTCACGATCTTTTTTTGTAAGATTTTCTTGTAATAAGAATAAGAGTTCACTATACGAATCATAACTACGAGTCCAACATAGTAAACCAATTAGAAAATTTCTACTTCGTAACAGTTTTACAAAGAAATGGGGAATTGAATGAATTTTTAGATCGGCCTCTATTAGGCAAGGCAATCTAGATTCGTTGAGACATTATAGATATTAATATGAAATCGGGTCATAATAGTATTAAATCCTTAGTCTTGATAAGTCTGCAAATTTATCGTACAAGGTAAGGAAGGTACAGGTTGTATAAAGTAAAGTTGACTAATGTTCATCGGTAATAATTTTTAATGAAAGGAAGGCGATTGAAACTAGCGTAATTATTGTCAATTTCTTTGACATGATTCAGTCAAGTATCAAAGGTTAAAATCATATTAATTTATTTATATAAGACTTCGATAATTTAACGGGTTTTAGCGATAGTCATTGCGTATCGGTTATGAGCATACTTTTAATTTTTTCCAGTTCACGATCGCCAGATGAGTGGTATACAAGTAATTTTCATTTGTTGCACATCATTTATTTCAAAAGTATACTCGAAATAATAAGCAAATAAGTTCAAGTGCTGTCGTTGCCCTACAGGCTTACATTTTACTGTGCTGTACAATAGATGTAGGCCTACGACAAATTATATATTGACATTAAATGTAGATGAAACAGTTCTTACTGTATGATGTAATTAAAAGAATTAACAAAATGATGTAAAACACATCAAATTACAATAAAATTTAGAAGATGAACAGCTTAACTTGATTCTTTTACTCATTAGTAGGATCACTGGTGTTGCCCATCGATTATGTGAGTGAAGCATGATATAACAGTTATAAATGGTAATGCTGCACTTTGATTTTATCAGACGTTCCTGTTTGTCATATTTAGAATGATAATACAAGTAATATTTATCAGAGAGTTATCAACTTTTAAATATTTTCGATAAACAGGGCTATCAGTTTAATCCACTCATCGAGTCCATAGTTGATAGTTTGCCATTTCGATTAAAGAAATCACATAAAAGGAAAATCAGGAATGAGTAATAAGAAAGTACAATAATATAATAATTAGGAAGTCCAATTATAAGAGTAGGTTTTCTGCCAATACGGTAAATATTCTATTAACGGACCTATAAGACATTGGCAGAGCAAATAATACGTATTATATTATAAAGCCTTAACACATGCAATTGTACAAATATACCATACCGATTATAAGTGATGATCCAGGAATATAACGGCTTAAAAAGCCAAGGATGGCTATCACTTTCTCCCTATACAATTTCGGCATAAGCAGATAATAGTTCAATTTTAATGCCCGATGCATCAAATTTATTACAGTCATTGCCTCACTTACCTTGAATAATTGTCATAACAAGGAGATCTCAGTAAATATAATAGTAACACCATATATCGGCGAGAAATTTCTTGTCTTTCTTGAAAAGTTCGTTTTGTAGTATCGCCCGCTATCACTAAACTACATTAGGACATTATTGTAAGATAAGAATTTCATTCCAAAGTAAAAATTAGTTCATGCGGGATGGCAGATCTATTACAATTAGTAAGAAACCTTTCTAAAGCTCTTTACGATACCTGGATAGATCCGTAAATGTGGATATTAGCCAGGGTTTCCAGGAGTTTTGTCCAAAAGTAAACATGCTTAATACTACAATAAGAGTTTTCATCTGAGAGGTGACTTCTATAGGCTACTTTAGGTTATAACGTAGCGATGATTTATTGATGAATACTTACTGTGAAGAACTGGGCGGACAGTATATAACAGTTCCGCTAGCTTTTGCCTTTCCGTGAGGGGAGTGGGCTCTTGTTCAACAAACATCTTATATTGGTCTAAGTTAGGGTATTGACGACGATCTGGTGCATGAAAATATAACATTACAACAATTACACGGTATAAATTGTTCAAAGTAACTGAATGTAAGTGACAATCTTCGATTTCAAAGTTTAAGCTTGACTACCGGCAGAAAGAGATCGAACGAATCGCCCGGATCTTTCTCCTTTCCATACTGGCAGTTCCTGGGCAGTTGGATCATTTTTCATATTTTGTTTGTTGTTCATCTCGGATAAAGTTTTAGAATCTCTTTTCATGGGTGCAATCGTTGGTCGACATTGGATACCATCTTTGTGCTTGAAAACTAAGACCAATCTCATTGCGGCTCTTTTTGATAAAGTGAATATTACTTGGTGTTGAGTGTTTCCACATTAAAACTACAGTATACCGGTTTCATATTGGATGGTAATAAGTATTACAATGACTTACTTTAAAATTTGTACCATTAATACTACCACCCAGCGTCCAAAGTCGCCGAGAAGACGAGCCGATCCAACTTCAATAAATACTTCAACGTATTCAACTACTGTGAGCCATCTTTTGATCTTTATTACAGATGCAGACTATAGCGAAAGAAAAGAGTTTGCATTGGAAAATATAGTTGCTAATAATGGTATAAGAGTCATTGCAGTAACTACTCATACTGTTCTATTGATAGCTGAAATCAATACTACTTGTTTTACAAGATGGATTAGGGAATTTACACAATTGTTATGTCCGCGTACGATAGCATCTAGTACATACAGTAATAACAGCCTACGCATAGTGCAACCTATGCAATAGTCTACAGCATAGCATTTTATTGGTCATTACGATCACCTTTTTAATACTGAATTAGCACAAGATTAGTTCATATTATCAACTAGGTTTCCATGATGTACCTTTCAGGGGAGTATCGCTATATAAATAATAATTAATTATACAACAGTATGCCTTCATGGTTACTATGATGGCAATTCTTTTCTATGAGCAAGTATTGATGTTGGATGTCATAGTTGTTATCCTGAAGTGGTTAGTATTGATATTTTGAGTGATGAATGAAAGAACTGCTAATAGTATCAGACCTAAGCATATTATGCTAGTCGATTACAGTATGTTCATACGACATAATTTTCTAGGTCTATTCCTGCTGTTTTATCTTACCGAAACATTGGCTAATTTCCTGGCATGTCTATAGATTTCGTCGTTGGTTAACGTCAACAGATTAGATGCAGTATAAACTGTTGTCCAATGAAATGCATATATTCGATTAGATATTTATTCAAGAAATGGATAAAACGGAACTAAGATTATATGAATTCTTATCCTGAAAATTAATTAATAATTACTGTAAAATACAGTTTACAGAGGATAATCGATATAGCAGGTATGCGTTTAACATACATGATGAGTAACAAGACAAATAGATCTCTTTATAATATGTACAGTTTCAGAGGGAGATGTGGGATTGAAGTGCGCTACAGCTTCCTGACTTACCTAATTCTGATATTTCTTGAGAAAAAGGAAATTTGCCTACAGGATAGAAAGTCATAGTTAGACAATTGAGTGTGGAACGACATAAGTACAGTATTACAGGTTTTAGCAAACTCGTCGCCATTCGCTGCAAAAGTACTTGTACCCTTGATCTAGCAATCATGCATAGTACAGTACTGTACAGTATACTATCCTTCAAATTGTATCTCTTAAAGTATTCGTAGGATACTAGTAGGATAGGATTGCTATTCTAGGCTAGATCAGATGGTATACATGAACGCTATCACATCGTTTTAGTCGTGATGGTTGTCATGACGAGCATTCCTACCAAGACACAAGGGGCTGAAATTGCGTGAACTAGTACTGGCACATAGCGATGCTGAATACTAGCACGAGCATTTCACATTAGCGTATTAAATAGCAACACTATTCAATCGTGTTATCCACATTGATATTGTCTGTACAATTTACTAGTAGGACTATATAGGATAGAATTACGAGAGAGGTGGACTCTTTCTTGGAATCCACTTGGTGGTCACTGCTACTCGTTGAGAGCTGCTCTTTTGTAGCGTAAGGGTCCATAGAAATCGCATTACACTATGGCCTATCTTGTAGAATGGGGAATCCACAGGGTGAAATTGTTTTACCCTACATCTATTTACACACTAGTCTAAAATTAAAAAACCAAGTGGATAGCATTCTTGTGATCGGGTGTAGACGATACCCAACGTATTTAGCATGCAAGCTTAGTAGTGTATATCCCCGTAGACTCTGTACTATTAGCAGATATTTTGCTCCCGTTTGCAATCTTTTCAACACCGTATCTATCTTACGTGTATAACCTTGGATAAGATAGGAGACCATACGCAGGATAGCTTCTATTCTCGAAGCTATTTCAGGATCTTTAATGATTAAATCCCTGTAATTGGTAGCAATTTCTTGCCATTTGGCAGTGATAAAATGGAGGATTCCAGACGCCATTTTAGTTGATTGACCTTTAACGTGTCAACTTTCGCCCTTCCGTTTGTATGTGGTGTCCCGTATCAGCTGACCCTGTACTGGTACTGGTACTGGTACCGGCTGGGCCCCAAAACCTGTACTGTACACTGTACACTGTACTGTACAGTACTGTACAGAATCTGTACGAGAGACCTTGTATGAGTCTGTACCAGACAGGTACAGTATCATACCATACAGTCAGGAACTTCTATAGTAAGACTAATACTACTCTTAACCATGTTCGTTGCGCGATTTTATGGTACCGTACCGGACCGTACCAAACCATACCGCACCGTAACGCACCGAACTGTACCGTACTGTACGCTCTCATACTATAGTGTACTGTACGTTTTTAGAGGTACAGAATAGTGTACAGTTCCTGTAAATCAACGGATCAAATCTCGGTTTCAGTATGGCGAGGTTTTATGTTTTGATAGAAATCCTGGAATGATGACAGAAATGAGAAACATGAATAAAATGATAGGATGAAACCATAAGATGGATTTTATGGTCTGGAGTCTGGACTGCTGTCACCTTACACTGTAAGTACGGAAGAATGATAGTCGACAGGCCTGTGATTACAGTGTACAGTATACAGTAGTACTGTAGGCTGTTGGGACATCATCCGAAAATATCTCCACAAATCTTTTTGCACCTCCCCTCAGGTGATAGATTGACTAATGCATTATGCAATCATTTTTAATATCTTAGTATAATTTTCGATGAATAGATATTTGAAAATGAGCCATTTGGTTGTATAAGATATAATATACGAGTTGCGTAATATACACTATATCTTCATCTTGCGCGTTGAAAATGAGCTGAAATGGACAAAATTGTAAAATAATATCATCGTTGTACAGTACTGTATATTAGTCCAAGTATCAGCCCAGAGAGGTAAGCAAAGATCAGATATCATTTGCATATTTTGCATGGTCTACTATACTGTACACTACTGTACTGAAAACTACACAGTTATAATGCTTGGCCGGACAACACTAGTAGAAAGAAAAATTCCTGTACCTCCATCAGATGCAGTGACGTATAGTACCAGAAATGGCTTCCTTAGACCACCTTTTTTACAGGCCAATTTGCTGTATCATCAAAGACTTGAATTGCAACGGTACAATTATCTCGGTTCAGTAGAACTTCAGTTAAAAGGCGATCATGATCTTGGGTTAGCTCATGCACAGGTCTGCAGTATACACTACAATAAAGAGTTCTACACCTTTCAAACTAGAATCATGGATGGTATTGCATAGTCCCCTTTCTTGTATCTCGATGAGGAAAAGACCATGATTCAATGACTAGTTATAGACTACATTTTCAATCATGGATAGCTAATAGTATCATTCACCATTATACTGTACAAAATTACTCATTTTGCATAAGTACAGTACAAATCACCAGCAAAATAATTGCCTTCTCTATGTTTAGTATACGGAACGATCATTTCCAGTCTCCACTCTTTTTACGTGACTCATCTCACTTTGACCGCTACATTAAAAGTATGAAATAATTCAATTAACTATTAAGAAAGAGGGACAGTAAACAAAGAGAAAAAAAAAAGATTCATTTTCCATACAGCATTAGGATTGGATCACTAAAATAATAAGGCTTATTATAGACAAAACAGATAAATACCCAAATACAGTAGAAAACTTTCAGTTCTCACCTCTCGGCGAGTTATGATTGACATGATTGATGCTGCTTATTGATTTAGTTTTGCGATAGCGGAGCAGTAGATAGGGGTGCTCTTGTACAATAAGGTTCTCTTTGCTAAATCTATGGTGGAAACTGTATACAACCAGTCATCAATACTAAAGCCATCTCGCGCTATTCTTAGCCCATGACGTCAAATTATCAATTGGGCTGCTAGCGGTAAACCTGGAGCAGATTTCCTGAATAGTCAATACTCAAGAGCGAGCTATAGTCAAGGACCTCTGGGTACAAACAACGAGTGTAAAACGCAAATAGAAAACGTACGGACTACATCACATTAATTAATAGCATACACGCACTGTTGGTCTAAGGAGCAGTCCGATGTAGGTATTGGATCACAGCCACCTTTCTCTTTAAACTGATTACTGTTACTGGTAGACTAACCACTGGTTGGTGAATCACACTTTCCATCTTTAAAATTTGATCTACGCGTCAATGGAGAAAGTATTTGTTATCTTAGCAATTTTAGGGGCTATTAGCTTTCTTTCTGGCTCTTTATCCTTCTTTGTTATTGGTGTTCATCCAAGTAATGGGACCATCAGTGCTATGACATTTACTACGCCTGTACTACCAGCTATCTCCATCTTTTCCGTAATAACAGCTTTACTAACTTATAATCAAAAGCCGAATGCTACTCTTTTAGCTTCTATCATGGCGTTGTCGGTATGGAGTATAGCCCTATCGACCGTTAATATTATAACATACTGTTATATCTTTATTAGCAACAATTATTTTAATACTGCTCCGCAATGCATCCTCTTCATTGTCAATATTGCTACCGCTTTAGGTATTAGTGGATTGTCTTGTTTAAGCGTCAATAGGTATTATAAATCGTTGTCTGCGTGCAATGATTATGAAAGATGCAGTGGCTGGGTACGATATTACTGGACAGATGAATTTTGTTGTACAGGTTCAAATCAATATTATGGTAGTGTAGGCCAGGGCCAAGTCATTGCCAGTATTACGCTATTAGTCAGTAGTATCGTTGGTTTGTTTGGCGAAAATAGTGTTTTCCCCATGTTATTTATCCTAGCTGGTACTTGTCTATTGACTGCGGGCATACTAGGCATCATCACATCTAAGTTACAATTACCCGATGCTGGTATATGGTTTCTCACTTTCAGTCGTGCTGGAGGATGTGGCTGTTGGGTATCGGTTATGTGTAACGTTATATTTATTGTTCATGCAAAGGAATATTCTCGGTGGAATACAGCAACCTCGTTGGTGATATTTGCATTTACAGCTATATCAAGTATAGCTGGATTTTTCTTATCGGTTTCTGTAGAAGTAATTATTGGAAGTCGATTAGGGATGCATAAGTATGATCCGGTGAAAAATGGTGAACCTTGGCAGGGTTATAGCCAAGCATTGAAAACCAAACAATTTGTCTTGTGCTTCATATTAACGCTCTGTGGTTGTATCTTTATCGCGATTACCTTTCTAACGGCAATACTCTTGCATGCTGCACCTTTTGTACTTTTTACTAGCTTAACATCCTATTTTTTGATTGCTGCCGGTAGAACTGCAGGAAATATATTGAAAAGAAAAAATGTTTCAATTCACAGTTGTTATTTAGTTCTGTGCAGCATGAGTAGCTTTTGTCTAGCAGCCAACTTTGTTCTATCCATCCATCAGTTGCTCTTGTGGATATTGATCGATAAATCGCCACATAAATCGCCTGCCTTTATGATTATTGATCTAGTCAACATCGGGGTGTCATTATTCTGTCTTTTTGCTACATTGTACAGCGTCTATATCTACGGTAACGAAGTCACTAAAGATGTCTTAACGGAAGAAGCAGATGCTGCATCTGAAGTTAGGAAGGATTTACTGTAGTGAGGAGTAAGCTAATTCTCTATTTTCGATGAAAATGACGATAGAAAGGGGACAACGATTGTATTTTTACCAATATGGCAGATGGTCCTCCAACATAACTGTCTATACTGTATAAAAGATAAACTTGTGGTATACCATTCCACACCTTGCATTTTTGCTGATGCATTTGTTGACTTAGGATTGTTTGTTAAATCAATTCTGCTGACACTCAATAATAAATTACTTCCATCTTGTATATATTTATTAATATCAATGCTATGCTGTAGATGCAACGTCAGCTTTTAAATCATTGTTACTCACCTTCTGCAAGGCAGTATTTTATTACTTCAACCACCCAACTGCACGATATTATCCTTGTACTTTACAATTACTGTATGTTAAATCTTTTCTGCCTGTACTTATGTACGTACACTTATTGTAGTACTAGTTATTTGCAGTGTTTTGTAAGATGAATAATTCATTAATACAGAATCAACATTAATCTTGAAATACTAGAGAGTTGGAGTCGATCGCGTATTGCGAGAAAAGGAAAGTCTTTCACTTTTACCTGTATCTTGCATGCATCGCAACTCTACTAATTTAATTTGTGATGACAACGGTATAGGACAAGAAATGGACTACCTTCCTGTTCAATGCTGATGGCATTGTACAGGATCTATTTTAGACGCGTGTTGAATGCACAAAACCCACAGTTAATGCCGCCTGCTATGCCTCGATATGAAATACAATCAACATACAGTTGAAAAATTGATTTTCTTCCCCATAGCTCTACAGGATCTATTTCAGACGTTTACAGAGAGCGCAATTTTAGAGTTATCATCACGCAAATGGTTAACCACTTGTTTTCTATATAGAGTACCGATAATATAGCTAGTTTCTATCCTGGATCTTGATTAAAAACCAAATTCATGTCGGCAGTATTTTGCTAATCGCTTTTGAAAAATTAGTCAGTCATTTATAGCAATGACTGGTATGCTGTATGTTTTTCGACATAACACTTTGCAATCATAACTATATCCTAATAGAAGATGCATTAATTATTAAACCAGTAGTTCCTTGCTTGGATAGCTTCTTTCTTCTGATTATCGTACTGCACCTGCTGTAGCGTTGAATGCATTCTTAGCCTTAAAGCTCTGCACCTTCGTAAGTAAAGTACGGTAGAATTTCGGCATAGACTTCTAGATTACTTCCCGGGAAGTAATCTAGAACTCCATGGTTTCGAGCTTAACTGCCTAGCAATAGGTATAAGAAAATCTCTCTTACCATGGCTATCTAGACTACTAAATTATTGCAGTACAGCACAATAAATAGAATTATCCTTCTTAGTCAAACAAGTACACGAAATAGAACGAGTAGAAGTTGGATTAGGACTGCAGAATAATTGTTAGCTTCTTTTACGGTGCTTTTAAGCTCTTGTAACTTGATTGCAAGTTGCCTTTGGCTGCACCCAGTCGGTAGAATTACCATAGCGACAGCAGATTATATTTACTTAATTGATTGTCATACTGTGTATACTATAGTGTTTGATGCACTCGTGACTGTCAAGGGCTTTTAACTTGCTCCAGTTCTGTGCAAGCATAGAGAGCAAAATTTTCAACATCAATTTAGACTAAAAACTGCCATTTTAGCTGGTTTTGAGTGGAGAATTGGACATCATACAGTAGAGTACTGTAAATTATGATTCTTATTGACTGTGACTATCTAGCCATCCACATTTCTCATTTATTTTAACGCTTTCTACGCTATAACAGAACGCCACCGTCTTGGACATGACTACGAAAACTACAGTAAGGTAGGAGGCGCGTGACTATCAGATGTTTACTCATAGAATCAACTTGCAGCATAACACTGGCCACCTCGATCAAGAAAAGGGCAACGAAACGTTGAAGATCCATTGAACAAATCCATTCCAGCGATAGTAGAACAAGCCGTTACTATTCTGTGCATTATTAGGAGAAGTGGATCAGCCACTACAAGACTATTAAGGGCTTCAATGACTGATCACTCAGCTTGAGTGCTATGTATGGCATTTCCAATTGCTCATCTCTTCGTTGATGACAGTCCACCAATCTCCATTCTATAAAGTAGCAAGTCAAGGTTGATTATCATTTTAACAAATCCAAGAAATTGATCATTATAGAGAGAATATTCTTACATTAGTATTGACGGTCAGTCCATCTATCAAGGCACTTGTTCACTAAAGTAAAAGCGTCTGGACAAGATGGAATGGATTATTATGGTATTGCTCTTATTTGGAATGGGAAATTTTCTGTTAAGTGTTGTCTCTTTTGTGGTTCTTCCCATAGCAGCTGATCAAACTATTCGCACACTTGCTTTTACTGGTCCCATACTACCTGCAATAGCGGTATTGTCTTTGGCTTTCTGTCTATTTTATCGCAAGAATGCTCCTCATGATACTGTTACTACCGCTATCTTTGCCTTATCATTTTGGTGCTTGCATTTAGGCTTGAGCAATTTTATCATCTACTGTAGTATATTTATTACTAATGGCTACTTTCATCTTTCTGGCCCTACGATCCTCTTTATCATCAACGGTATCAGCACTAGTGCAATACTCATCGTTGCTTTCATATCTGTCAATAAGTATTACCTAACAACCACGGATGATGATGGTAATGATCACAATCATACCAGAAGAGGTATTTGGGTTCGATATAGCTGGGCCGATGAATATGGTTGTTGTGATGTTCAATACAAAACGTTAGCGGTTTGGCAAATTTTCGCTGGGATAGTGCTCACCATTATTGGTATGGTTGGATTATTCAATGTCACCATCGTTTATCCTGTTGTTGCTATTGCTGCTGGTTCCATGATATTTACATCGGGTATCATGGGAGAATTTACAGCTAAACTGAATTCAGCCAATACTGGTAATTGGTTTGTTGCTTTTAGTCGAATTGCTATGATGGCGTGTTGGCTAGTGATGATTTGTGATATCGTTTATATGGCGCAGGGGGCCACATCATTTATTTCCAATCGTTCTCTGATCTACGTTTTCCTCTTTATTTTACTGGCAGCTTCCATAGTTGGCTTTTTTTTCGCAGTTTATGTTGAAGTTTTAGTGGGAAGTAGGCTGGGACTTCACAAATTTGATTCAGTTAGGAATGGCGAAGAATGGATGGGATATGAATATGCGATCCAGAGTCGAGAATTTTGTTTTGCTGTCATCCAATTTATAAGCGCAATGATATGCTTTGTAGCCGCAGTCTTGGCTATTGCTATTTTATATGGTGATCCTATAGTTGTATTTACTGGCTTAACTGGCTGCCTCTTAATGGCAAGTGGTAGAACTGCTGCTAACATCCTTCGTAAAAAGTGTGTCATGACTTATAGTACTTATACTATTTTATGTGTACTGACAAGTTTCTTTATAGTAGCCAATCTTATCATGAGTGGCTATCAACTTTTTCTGAAGATATCATCCAATGATGCTTCGTCTACTTTCCTTGCTGCTTGTATAATGAGTATTTTTGCATCACTAATAGCCTTGCCTACTACGTTGTATAGTGTTCATTTTTATTACATGAAAGTGAAGTCATTGCTTGCTAACGATACAAGACAGATCCGTGTAGCGCAGAATGCAGAAGGCAAGCCGTTACTTGATCAGGATATTTAACTTCTTACAGTTACGCTCTGAGGCTCATCCACTTGTTAAATCGAATACAATTTTGTAGGTATAACTCGGACGCTTATTCTCATCATTACTTTTCATTTCAATTCTAGGAGTATTTATTAGCATCCTAGTTTCATTTCCACTGGATATATAAGAATTATACTTGTAAAAACGGAAATAGACATCAGTATAATAATAGCCTATTGACGTCGATTTACTAACATTTAGTTGTCCAAGACAGGACAATATAGTACGCAGCAATGAGCATGATGAATTTCTACATCTAGCCCAATGGCATTTACAGTTAGTCATAATTTACACCTGCAATAGGGTGTCACTATTTTAGCATAATTATATATCTACTTGCCGACAAGATTTTATTAATTGACAACAAAATGGTATATTTTTTTACGTCCTAGTACTCTTTTGCATATCTTTTGTATATATTGAATCCTCTAAAGCAGATAATTTTGATATGCTATACTATCCAATAAACTATCAGTTGGCCTAAAGTTACAGAATCTGAGTTCTTATCATTATTTTGGCGTTAAGGCTTTGAAGAATTAGAAAGTAAGCGCATGTATATTTTACTGTATTTCACACCATTAAGGTGATGGGTATGCGTGTATGTTACGAACCCACTGGCCGAAGCAGCTACATGCCTATTAGAAAATGTAGTTGAATACAAGGCTATAGTCTAGCTTTTCTATCATGATTGCTTGCAATTTTCCTAAATACGTGCTTGAATTTGGTTTGATTAGATTCACTATGTGTGAATGTCTTGGCTAGCGCAGGGCTTACAAACTGTGGCTAATATATAATTTGTGTTGCAGTATTGCATGCATAGCAATACAGTAGTTGAAATTCGACTATGTTGCAATAGTTGAAGTATTCTTTCCTATATTGCTGAAAATACTTAAAAATGGATTGTTATCAAAATGACTTACTTCTGTTATCATGAAGTCTTGGGGATCTCAAAAATTGTATTTTGAGATCATGTTGAAAAGGGGCTTCTAACTCTGGTCGAAACTGTTGCAAAAACAGCATATGGTAGTGAATAGGGTCTATTTGAGCTAGAATTTGCATGTATACAGTACTATAGCTTTACAGAGTTCGGTTGATTAGAATTGACAACATTACTCCAGTAGCTGCATGCTGTAAACTTTATTAAATATTTCAATTGAGTTGTCTATTGCTCGCAGAAATCGATATTCATGATTTTAGTTTGCGATTTTATTTTCCATTGACTTGTATGTTTACTTACACTGCTATAACCCAATAGTGTAAATTAATTACATGTACCATCTTCTGTAATAGCACGACCTTGATAGGACTAGCAATTTTAAAGTCATGGCTGTCTACTGGCAGTGCAAGCTCATTTTATCTCTTTAGTCTATCATGCATTGACTAGCAAACGAAAATTCATGTTGTGATTCATAAACTATCTCGATTGTGCTATGAGTCATTTTTGTCCGTAGGTAGGTGTAGTACCGCGTAAATTTTAAGATTCCTTCAGTATTAACTAGCCAAGTTATATTCTAGTTATACGTCCTAAGTACTATCGAAAGTACAGTAATTGTAATATTGTGAGATAAGATAGTGTTTTGCTAATTCTAGCAAATTGATCAAATATAAGTGAAGTGAAGAGAGATCTTACAATAGGACATTATCGAAAGCATAGTAGCTGAGGTTAATGTAAATGATTCCAGCTAGATAGCTCTTGCAACTTCTCGATCAAGATAAGATTGGCAATTTGATTTATGTATCTTTACTGAAGTACTTGCAGGCATTTCATGAGATAACCCTTTTCACTGCACGGCCTTGATGAAATGAGAAAGCTCATGCCACTGCACGATCTTGATCAAATTAGCCATTTCGTGTTGTTATTACATACTGCACAAAGTATATCACAACAATACGGTATTCCAGCATTTCTCAACGCAATATGCATTTGAAAACAAATTGAGTACTTTCGTAATCCATAATTTAAGTAATACCTGTAACGAGATCAAGATCTGAGACTTTGAGCTTTCCTTTTTTTTAGTCTATTTTATTGGAAGCACATGCCAAGCGCGATATCATACACACGTTAACGAGACATAAGAACTGTGACAACGAATCAGCTCTAGTACCAACATAACTTGAATACCATATCCTAATGCACGTGAACATTTGTAGCATGTAATCTTAATCTAGTAACATTAGATAAGGTTTAGATAAGCCGTAAATAAATAAATAAATAATATTGTACGATATCTAGGATTCCCCACGTTGTATGGCGCGTACACTACAAGGTAACAAGCAGTAGTTTACAGGACAGGCGATGTTACGACAATACCAAAAGCATAACTGATCAAAACGACTAAAGACTATATGTGCTGATGTGCATTCTAGATATCTATTCAATCGCTATAAAGCAACGATATTTGTTCAATCCTTGCAGTCTCAGGACAGTGCAAGTTCATCATGCTTCTTCATTATTACTTGAATCCATCGCTAAGGGTTAACGATGGCAGTAATGCAATTGGAGTTGGATAACCCATCCGTCCGCATGTCGATGATTATTGCAGTGGAAAGACTTCCTTTTTACGATATTGTCTAGTCCTTGCTGTCTCCTAACAGTACAAGCTCATTTTGCTTCTTCATTATTACTTGAATCCATCGCTAAGGGTTAACGATGGCAGTAATGCAATTGGAGTTGGATAACCCATCCGTCCGCATGTCGATGATTATTGCAGTGGAAAGACTTCCTTTTTACGATATTGTCTAGTCCTTGCTGTCTCCTAACAGTACAAGCTCATTTTGCTTCTTCATTATTACTTGAATCCATCACTAAGGGTTAACGATGGCAGTAATGCAATTGGAGTTGGATAACCCATCCGTCCGCATGTCGATTGCCATTGCTGTGGAAAGACTTCCTTATTTGCTGGACGGTGAATGATGAATGCAGTAGGAAATGATTAGCTTACCTCAGAATCAACAAGCTTTTGTACGGGAGAGCAAAAGCAAGACTCTACTGGACATCCATGACAAAGCACAATATGGATCTCGTAGTGTAGTATAGAGCATGATACTAGGAGAATGGCGCCGATCATGAAGAACTGGACCACCCCTACTTTGCCGACATAATTTACTGGCCCTCCCGATTGATGTAAATGTCACGGTCAATATAAGGATTCGGGCATTCTATAGGTATGTCATAAACATTTGGTCTCCCTATCCTGGACCCTGGGCGGCCATTCCCAAATCGAAAAGGTAAAAAAAAATGGCCATTTTATCCTTGTCATGTTCTTTGATTGAGCTAGAATAACCATCATCAATAATGATGGTGATGATTGATGTTAAGAATAACTATTCTACTCGAATAAACAATGTATTCTTTTCCTTTGCATGAATACTTGATGACATGATTGAACGATTAAGCGAACTGCATCATCGCAACAAGGTAAGAGATCATATCCAATTCAATTAATCATCTACAACAACATTGGTATTGATTTATTTTAATCGTTGAGTCAAGCTGCGATTATAGCAGCCATAGTAGAGTGGTCTGACTGTCGTCCATGGGGCAATAGTTGTTTATGGAAGCGTTCATTCATCATAGGATGTGTTGGAAATTGGATGTTATTGCGAGCATTGCAATCGCGGCTAATGATAAAAGACATGTAAAAGTGTATTATTGATGTCGTGAGAGCTAGGATCACGAGACTTGGATCAATTCTCTGTTTTTTTACTTTACTGTATTATGATTGCTGTTAGCGATGTGATCGGATAGACTGTGTTTACGATTGGATGGAAATTCAGCACCAGCTGATAATCAATGCACCCTACATAATCGGATATTTTGAGAATATTGTCATTAGTGAGAACAGGCTGAGCGAACAAGACTTGATCCATTTCTACTCGGTATGCCGTAGTCTATTAACTGTAGAGGAAGGAGTACGAAGGGATCAGTAAGAGCAGGCTAGAATAACAGACTTTCATGAATTTCTACTTGACATGTCGTCGTCTGTGTCCTCCATGTCCTCTAGAATAATAACACTCACTTGATTGTAGGAGCCGTTGTTTAGAATGTTAGTTTATGGTAGGATAAATCAATTAAACATCAGCTGATGATGAATTAACGCTGACACAATCGCAATGGAGGAATGGCCAGGGATCAGTGATGGCAGGCTAGGATAGCAAGACTTCCGATTGATTCGTGCCCGATATGGCGTAGCTCATACCGTAGAGGGAACGAGGAAAATTTTTTGAACTCGATGGTCCACATCCCCCGAAATTCTCTTATTTTTGTTATAGTAGCTGTGACGTATTTAGCAGATGTAGTTTTAATTGCTGTAAATGCTGACACAGTCCTGATGGAGGATTATTCGATATGGTGTAGTTCATACTATCCAAAAGTTTTCCCACTTGGTGATGGTGATGATGACTTTGACCTAGTTAGAGTTCGAGTTTAGAGATGAATTGAACATCAGCTGATGACAAATATCGATACTGACATGGTCCCTGTTATGGATTGCCATCAACATGGAGGTCGAAGAAAAAGCTTTGATCTCAATGATCCAATCTTCCTCAAGTTCTCCTATGTTATGATGGTGTAGGGTTGGAATGGGATCAGTAGGAGAAGGGAAGGATAACAACGAGGTCAAAATCTCCATTCAACATGTCATTGTCAATCCTAGTAGCCATGAGCCCATTTTGATAGTATCCTCTACTGTATGTTCGAGAAAGGAAAGGTTTCGTTTTGAAGATGAAATGATGATTGAGCTATTGGATGACATGGCGAGCATATTTTCACAGTTTAAGATTTCATCAGTGGCCATCAACGATACGTAAAACAAGCACAAGATTAGATGGATTAATTCTGACTTGAAATCGTGCAATAACGCCCATGATGCGAGGGTGATATTTTCAACATTAGGCCGTTCGATCATGTTTAGAGATGGAGTCGATTGGGATAGGATATTTTCACCGTGTGCATCCAATAAATAGCATTGGATCGGTGTGATAGCGGCAATAGTACAATATATTGGATTCGTCTTCACATACTCTGTCCAATCATGATGGAAGATGTTATCATAACGGGGTATCCTGCAGTGATTTTCAACTACTTGATGATTTAATCATGGCCTTCAAGTTTACATCTCGAGGGTCAAAATGGATCAAGTCCGGTACTTTGAAGATCAGTTCAATTATGCCCATAGCAGCATTTTGGTGGAGTCATTTGCTACATTGGACGCTTTACTGTGATGACTATGGTAAAATGAAAGAGTTCCATCATGAGAATGATCATCCGAATCAATCAAGTTGCTTTTAATGAAGTTAAAGTGGACCAACGTTGGCAGGAAAGTGTTGATGAGGATGGTGATGAAATCTGCTAGGATTGCAGTTGGCTTTTTATACTTTGCAATTCATTGGCGATTTTTCCCTATCATTTCAACCATTACATGCGGCAAAGTAATCTCTGCCTATGGTGATGGATCATCATCATTAGAGCTCTTGATTTTACTTTCTCATCATTTGGAATTTATTGACTATGACAACAGATGATTTGCAACTGATTCTGTCATGGGTATTGAAATTACTACATAGGATAGCAGTGTCCTTTTCTTTTAGAGCTTTTCACCATTCGTTTTCATTCTATCGTTGATATTGAAATCCCTACATGGGATAGAGACCTAGTTCAAGCTTTTGACGATACGATTTCATTCTATCATTGAAATCGCTACACAGAGGCCTAGTTAGAGCTTTCCACGATATTACTAAATAAAAAACGATAGTAGCACTTGATTCTTTAAATTTCATTTTACTATTCGGATGTATTATGGATGTATTTACGAAGATGAGAGGATCTCTTTCAAGCACACATTGTCATGGCTTGTGTGGATCGAGGTCGCCATTAAACACTTCTGTTTCATAAACTGCAGTAGGACCTAAGGAAGAGATTCTGCCCTACGATGGGCAACATGAGTTCGCAATTTCATAATAGCATATAAAACTGAATCATACCTTAATTAAGTCGTAACAAGAAATTTCGACTTGATCACTTGTTTTTATTAATATAACAATTCGTTTATTAATTATATACGAGTATACAGTTTATAATGTTTATTATTGTGACGAGTATAACATCCCGCAGTGATATTTGCCACAATTTTTCTGCTATTACATTAGTTAGTCATTGCTTCCTGTTTGCCCAAAATGAAATATGGCCATTGCCACAATTTGCAATGGATATCCTTGATTTAGCTTTATCTACGGAGAAAATGAAATTAGAAATCATATGGAACAGACTGCAGTTGCACTTTATACCGATAATCACTGCAAACTGATCAATATTGCTAGATGAAATTATGACCGCTGTTGGCCCCAAGCTAACTCTATTTGTATTTCCACTATCCCATGGACATGAACATTAATAATATAATTAATAAGCAGAGTTATGAATGAGCCTGTAATTTTTATTCTATTTAATTTCATCGCAACGAACAACAACAAATAACATGCTCAAGCTGTCATAATAAGCTCCATGATCATTCTACCATGAAGGAAAAAGCTTTTCTGCCGTCAGGCTTACTCAACATGGCGATTCATAGATGGGTTCAAGTCAGTTAGCAGCCAATGGATTGATTCTTTTTTGAACAAATCACGAGCGATCGAGTTCACGATCAATTTCTTTATCCTAACACCCATGGTACAAGGGACGAATCTTTTATGGCAAATGGAGAGTGGATCATAAGCCATCATCAGTAGAAAATAGAACATGTCGCAATCAATCGACTTCAATTCTAGTTTTAGCCCAGGGCTCAATTTTTTTATTTTTTATGCCCATAATTATAATACGAAGAAAGTCTCTCTTTTGACAGATTGAATTTCAGAAGGCATCATGAGTAGGAAATAGGAAAAGCCGCAATCGATTGGGTACAATTTCTTTATTTTAACATCCATACTAGTACTGGAAACGAATGTCCTTTGACAAATTGAATTTAGAAGCCATCATGAGTAAGAAATAGAACAAGTAGCAATAGATTGAGTTCAATTGTAGCTTAAGTATGAGGACACAATAGCCATAATGAGCAAGAAATAAGACAAGTCGCAAGGGATCAAGCTTAATTTTCGCTCAAGTTCAGGCTCAATGCCTCTATCAGACATCTATAATACTAAACACCAGTGAATCTCTTGTAGTAAATTGAGAATGAATTTGAAGCCATCATGGCTAGGAAATTGGACAAGTCGTAATAGAACGAGTTCAATTCTAGCTCGAGTACGAGGACACTACCTCTTTTTGCGAAATTAATTTTGCATGCAGTTAGAGTATTTTATTCCTCTAGGTGGCTTGATATTTGTAGTTTATAGCATGGCTTATTCTTCTTAATGAAATGAATGAATTTTTTTAACGATTACAGATGAATTGCATTCACTTACATCGTTATTTATTGCTATTGTCCTTCTTCAAATTTTAGCCTTCTCAACTATGACCAGAGATGATTATTATTTGCTCCTATCATGGACCTTGCAAAGCATCTAGGTCGATGGCTTGTAGCACTATTACTCATCTACTACATCTATAATTCTGTACTTGATGAGACTATAAGCAATCAGTCATTTGTAGCAGCATTAATATCACTTGTCCTTTTTAAAATAGTAACTGGATATTCTGCCTTCGATAGAATAGCTAGAGATCAGCACAAATGATTGCTGTACAATTCCTTATTATTGAAGTAAAATTGGCCAATCATGTTCTTACTTTAAGTGCAGATTGGAAAGGGAGTAGTAAACGCAAGACGACCAACAATGTAGAACTTAAAAAAGACATTATTATACCTGCACGATAAGGCTTTTTAGTAACTCTATATTAACCATCATCATCCTTCAATAGGTAAAACTGAGATAAAGGAAACCTACAACAAAGTCTAAATTCATATCTTGGAGGAAAAAGTAAAACTACTGCATCGTATTATCGCAAAGCCGCTGTACGTGCTATCAACATGGATATTGAGGTAGGTAAAATAGATAAGTTACCTGATGTGTAAAAATGATATATTTGGTAATGGGAAACAAATAAACTTAGTATGACAATGTGAACAAGTATGATAGATCAGTGGATTTTATTCCAGGTTTTAACTAGGGTTTGTAGTTATGACTGCAACCAGAAAGTTAATAATGACTACGTAGTAAATGAGTAAAATTTCGATAAGATAGATTTTGCTAACAAACTTACATGTGCAAGTTGCTCCTATTGAATATGTGTAAAGTGAATCAATTTCGCCAATGAATTAACTTGATCTACTCATGTTATTTCTTGCCATAGCCTGTCAACGATGACCCCAACATTACAAATAATAAAAGTAAGTAATAAGAATTGTGTCATGATGACATGGACGTAAATAATAATTATCGATCGGCAAGCATTCATCATCGCCTGGTCTATATGATACGCTGTAGATATGTAACTGAGCTAGAAGAGCAATAAAACTCGTTCAAGTGTTAGAAAATGGATTGAATGAGGTTTATACAGTATATCTATTTTCTCTTCTACTTTAGACGCTGATGGAAATGGCGCAATATCAAACCATGAAGCGAGGCTCAATGAATTACGCCAAGCGATGACAGATCTGAAAGAGTCTCGAGTTGCACTAATGGAACAAAAACGAGAATTGGACAGGCAAATTAAATCGAAGGACAGTCAAGTAAGTCCCTTGTAGCTTCTAACTTCGATCTACAGTATACTGTACCCTTTGCTAAATGTATCGATACTTTGATATTACAGATTAGTAGTTTACAATTGAAGATTAACAATATGGAAAGAAAGTCATCTGTTGGGTAATTACTTGATATCAATTATCTTTTCCCTGTTAAAATAAGTATCCTACCATGAATACTTTTAAAAACGGCGCCTTTTACCGACATCAATATCGTAGTAACTTTTCTACTCCTGCCGTCCAATGTTGATAATAGTCATTTTTTGCTAGTGTTCGTAAGGTGCAACTTAAACAAACAAAATATGAGGGTAGTAACTTTGGCCGTTCGATTAGTGAAGACGTCAATGAAGAGGTTGGCTTGGATATGTAGAACTACAGTAGAGTAACATGTTGTAATTGACGATTCAATACATAAAAATCTCTACTCTATTCTACGATAATGACATCATAATCTAATCCTCGTCAACTGCGATTTTAGGCAGAAGACGAAGCAACTACAGCCAGCGGAAGTGCTAGAAAGGTAAAATAAAAGAAATACATCTAGACTATTGATTATCTTTATTGACATCCAATGATGTTGTATTGACCATATTGACCTAGTCGTTAAACAATCGAAAAATACATTCCTATTTCAAGTTTACAAACTTGACCCAATGTACATATGTTGATTTGAGTTGAATAGTTAACCATAATAATTGCATTATATTTACTTTTGAATGCTATAGGTAGAATAGAGATGGATAAACAACTTAATTTGCATTGAACTTTGAAACGCTTGTAATTGACGATGTATTTTTTTGCACTTTGCTCTTCTGTAGATGTCTGAATTGTTTGAGAAGAGATCTCGTGAAAATTCGGTAGTGTATTTATACTTATTTTTCCAATACTCTTAGTTAGCGATATTTATTACTACGGATAGATTGAAATTAACGGCAAAACACGGACACTTGTAATTTAATTGGCGTAATTTGTCAGTTCACAGACCAAAAAATAGTAGAGTACGATAGCGTAGTCTAACATTAGTACGCAACTACTGCTATTATATACACTAATCAATCAAGTTGTAAGATTACAAAAAAACAAACTTTTCATTTACATTCTAATAATAACATCATGACTGACGATGCTAAGGTATCCCAAGCAAAACCAACTAGTCGAGCTAGTGGCATTGCTGCTCGCTTTGGCTCTCAAAATCAAACATGTAAATTATGTGGTAAAGTAGCTTATTTTATGGAGCGATTAGAAGCCGATGGAAAATGTTATCACAAGACTTGCTTTCGCTGTACAGAGTGTAAAAAAACGTTGAGGTTTGAAGAGAATTTGAATTCACTCTTACATAATTTATTACATTTCTTATCGATTATAATTGATTGTACATCATTTTTTCCTTTACTAAATTAGTGCTGGCAATTTTGCTGGTTTGCGTGGAGTACTATATTGCAAGCCTCATTTTAAACAACTATTTAAGTTGAGAGGTAATTACGATGATTCTTTCCAGCAAAAAAGGTCTAATGCTGATACTACAGATGAAAGTAGCAAAAGCAGTGATACTGCCGTCGATACCGAGACTATCTAAATTGTTTACTGTATAAGATGATACGAGTTTTCTCTATTCGAGGCAGCTTGCTTTTATCGCCCTCGCTCTAGCCCTCAGTAATGCAGTTTATTGAAGATTAAATTGTTGTCTTCTATCGGTTAATAGATAATTATGATTGAAAGTTATCATTTTCTTGCCCTCATAGATTTTCTTACATTGCTTGTTAATTTAATGAGATTCCGTGTATTAGCAGGCTATACTTAGTATCATCGTCGTCCCTAAGATTGCCTTTATGTAGCTCAATGTCAGTAAGTCCTTATGGAATTGAGATTCAGTCAGAATATTACAATTGAAGTGATAATATAAGTAATAGCGAATGAAATCAATCCAGTAAATAAGAAATGATACAATAAGGAAAGCTAAAAGTTTGCATTATAATTAATAACATGATATTTTGTTATATATACAACATTGACTCCATTTTAATTGGATGTTATTAGTTTATTTGGTGTTTGATAAAGTAATATGGCCTTTAAAACAAGTTAAACATACTGCATTTAAATAATTGCTGTTGCCTGGATAGAAAAATCCAATTTCGATTTTCATGGCAAGTTTCTATGTAAGCATATAACATCGGTACGAGAGTTTCTAGTTATTCGTTTTGGTATATAACTGGCTGAGATTACGTTCTTTTCTATGTTCGAATTGGTTTTTCACATCCGTTTGTTCAATTGAATATGTATTATTTGTCTGTAAGACAATTTTTTTCTATCATGACTGTCATAATTTGGCAACTATTTGAGTGTTTCTTTCCATTGGAATTACCCTTGAAGTCTATTAAAGGTAAAAAAACAACTAAAACTAAGGCTTGGTTTGATATTGTTGAAAGGAAGTTCTCATTTAAACGATAATTGCGCAGTAGTTCATCTTTCCAGAAAGAGACTGATTGAATGGGAACCTTTGCTACGGTTAAAATTTTAATTTCTAAGTTAATCATTATAGCCTCATGTAATAATAGCTACTTCTAAGCTCATCTTAACTACTGTTCACAGTAATATCGAGACCGAACGTCGTAGAATAAAAATAACTTTATTACAATGTTAAAAGGTTATTCGATATTAGCAATAACGAGAAACTGTAACCTATAGTAGAAAGTTGTCTAGTACTTCTGACTTAGCAAAACTGAGAGTCTACTTTAGCTCTCGCTCTAAGACCCTTTTATACTATTTGGGTCTGAGCTATTTGTCAGCATATTTTAGACAAATCTCTAACGTAAAAATTCCCATACAGGGACTAACATTTATTAGCATTTTACTATACTGTAAATTTTGGCCACCGCTAGCTGTGCCTTGTTTTCGTCTTCTTGACCCTTGTTTTGGCCTTCCGGAGCCAATCCAGTTCCCCCTGGACTCACAGCTTCATCTCCCGTGAAGTAGTTAATCCTCGGCTTGCGGTGTCATTAGTCTGAATCCAATCAACACGGCTAAACAACGGTCTCGCGGCCAATCGAACATAGCGCTAACATTAAATCTAGAAATATCTAATTCTGATACAGATCACAATATTGCATCTCACACAATTTGATCTTTTCGCTAGTATATAATCTGCAGACAAAAAAAATTCACATAGAAGTATTACTGTAATCTTCTTATATCTTGGACTACTGATCAAGATTAGTACTCTGCGACAACTATAAACTTTTCCACTCAAAACTCGAAACAGATATAATATAGACTCTCTAATAACTCCTTACGCGTAAGCGATAAATTAATTAGCAAATTCGCTTTATTGCCTTATATATTCAACTGGAATACTATTTACATATTCTTGCGTAATATTGCCTACGCAAACTATGAAATAACAGTCACATCATTCGAGACTGATAACCTATGGCTCTATCTACTATCTTTACAGCGTCTACTCTTTGCCATGTCATATTGCTTACACAAACTATGGAATAACAGTCACATCATCCGTGACTGATAAACCATTACTCTATCTAACGTAGAGAGAGTCTACTCTTTGCTACATAGCGCTAATGACTACATACGAGTAAACATACACAAAATCATAAGCACCCGCCATAATATCATCAAAATAGGTAGTGATCTATTTCTGCATCAGATACGTAACCTAAACATGGTATAACGCCAAAGTTACGATCATGTTACGACGATGTAGGATTTTAGCCAGGTATACCTTTCCTCAAAAACGCAAATGTGACGGTGTTTGAAGCAACAGATTGCCGTGATGAAAAGGTTTAAATTACGATCATGGCTCATAGATATCAATAATTGTTATAGTTTCAATTAGTGGCGTAGCCCGTATTATCTGATGGCAAAGCTTACAGTTATGCTTTTAAAGATATTAGTTATGCATGGCTGATATAATACGTTATGGTATCAATATTTATACACGAAATGGTAGTTTTTATGCAACTATAGTATCGAGCATAACTACTATATTTTTTAAGACTTGTACGATCACTGTACTATATTTAGCACGTAGTTGTAAGTTGCTGCATCCTCGCCATGATTAACAGCATTAAGTACATAAAATACTCACGCTCTTCTAAAAGTTTCGCGCAAGGAAATACGATCAATTTTATTGCTGAAAAAATTATGTGAATACATTTATTGCAATCTTATACAAATACGTACTTAAAGAAGTAAAACGTGTACTGATTATTCACTTAAACGACAAGAACCAATATTTGTAATTTAAGCCATTTGATACAAAATACAGATCATACAGTATTGTTTAGTAAATAATCAAATTGAATGAATATGTGTAGGTGATCGCTTCCAGCTCCATCAACGAAATAGAAATGACAAAATAATAAAGATATAGTATAATTTAAGAACAATTTGCCATGCACAATACTTGATTTTACGTTTCAATAACCAAGACATGAAAAATAAATATTAACATTAGGAAAGCTCAGATGTAAAGATCTAATTTTAATAAACTGAGCAGATGTTAATTTTAAGGACATCAGAAACTCACGCACGAATTAGCAAATATCTAAGAGACCGATCATTACATGCAAAACAATCCAATTTATATACTTCACATTTTGTTAACAGATTATATATATATTATCAAATAGACAAGAATCACAGTGATGATATATCGAGTCTATAAATCATCGACCATTCAAAATTCCAGATTCATTGGCTGCATTGATTTCTTAATTATTCAACAATTAGTAATGCACTGCATATCTATTAGTAGGATGTCTGGGGATAATTAAGCACATATTCAGCAATATTAGCAGTTAGTAGAGTTCCTTAATTAGGGTATGGATACTATATCTACACTGAGATCAAGCTGTCTCGATAGAGAAACTTATCAATCTCCTTTAGAGGCTTTAAATTGCATAAACAACGCGTCATTGTATCTATTGAGCTACTTACTACTTGAAAAGATACTGCACAAAAAATTATCCTTAAATTGTTTCGATCTATGTCTTTTTATTCCATGGTGCTGATAAAATAGTTATGCTACTGTCAATTACCTACTGAAATCTCTTGCTCTTGGCGGGTTAGGAGGAAAATGGGGATGCATTCCTAACTGAGGTCTAGGCCAGGCAGGCTGATGAGGCCTGGTCATCATCCAGTGAGGACTCGGGTGTTGAAATCGATGGTATCGGAATTGTGGATTATTTGCCATTGGATAACCACTTTCCGGGTATGGAGGAGTTATCCATCTTAAATCAGAATTATTCGATTCTCTTACCATACCTTGTCGCAAGGGATAATTGCTACATCTTTCATCCAATGGAGTCCTATATCCTGCATACGGCTGTCGAGCTGGTCTCTCTAAACATGCTAGTCTGGAATAATTATATTCCAATGGTCGATAATGATAACCGTTATGATGTTGGTAATAATATTCGTTCCAATTTAATTGGTGGCAATTTGTAAATCTACTGTGTGGCATAGAATAATCCATCGAAGGCAATCTTGTATATGAATTCATGAGATCAGATGGTCGTTGTGAGTGATTATAATTTGGTGAATTTGGATAATTGCTGTAAATTTTAGAGTGTTGTTTGCCATTTTCCAATGTATCCTTCATACATTTATTCCGCTGACTACTTGTATTATTGACATCGCGTGATAATTTGTCCTTCGGTTTGGCTATTGGAGATGATTTTAAGCTAGAGAAACATTCCAGTCGTTTTTTTGAAGGATCACTCGGCCGATTTCCATGCTGTCCCATCTTCTTAGCTGATGTTAAATCGATCGATTTCGAACTGTTTAAGGTTAATGTATCTAGGTAGGGTGTATGTTGCTTTAAATTGCAAACTGAACTATCCAAACTATGTATATTATCATTCATTATGGGTAAATTTTCATCGTTGTTACTTATATCCATAGCATCTTTCTCAATAAGTGCTTGTTCTATTATCCGATTAATATCGATGCAATCCGTTTGCTTCATTTGATGCAATTTTATACCATGTATATCGGTAGCTTGAGGATGGAATAAAGCCTTTAATTTGCCTGCATTTACAGCTGACGTAAATTGATGTAGAATGGAACTACTCCAATTCATCTCACGATCACCGTTGACAAGATCGAGGTAACATTGGACAGCAGTAGCTGGTAATCGTTTTTGCGCATTGGATAATTTGATTAAATTTCCTTTTAACATAACCTTTGAAACAATTGCAGAATCGATATCTTGTACTAAAGCATAATCATACATTAATAAGCACTTAAGTTGTCCACGAAAATAAGTTCCATTCTTGTTACGAATTAAAAAAACGCAGCCAACTTCACAATTTTTCTTAGCAATAGTGTTAGCATGCGGTTTATACGAATGATCATCGCTAGCTTTAGTATTATGCGAGAATTTGAGCCAAAATAAACTTGGACTGACAATAGCTGTAGCATAAACATCGATCCATTTCTTACGAGGAATAGAAATTAATGGAACCGAACAGGCTTGCGACTCTCGCAGAATACGTTGATAGTGATGTATCCGATGACGAGCTGATTGACTTTGCAAATGGTTGCACCTTGTAATAGCCCATTTGCATTTAAGCAATTCTGTATTAGCATGAAAACATTCCGTTAACTGGTAAAATTCAATCTGAACAAAATGGATATCATCTTGCCTTGACGATACTTTCATGGTAACATGATGACTTTTTAACCAAGAAGAGAATAATTGAGTAACATCCATCGGCCAGTATTGCAAGCAAGGTGAGTAATCCACGTTGTCTAAGCTACAAGCTACAGCCATTGCCTTTCGGCTTGCAAGACACGAATATAAAGGAAAGCAATCTTTTAATGATACTTGTTGATAGTAGCCAGTATCAATGCAATGTACTTCAGCGTGTGTTTTTCCTATAGTATCCAGCATTACTCGATGCCATTCGCCATCTATTTTTAAACGTGCAACACCTATATCGCCGCAATACCATGTCTGTTTCCTTGGCAAAAATTGTTGATAGAGTTTCTTCATTTTAGCTTGTAACTGTTGATAACTGGTCTTCATTTCTTCATTCATTTGTGCTCTATCGCGAACAAAAAAGTAATTGGGATTTATAACAGCTAAGACCTCAATTTTGATGTTGCTTCCAACTTGGAATGATTCAAAAGGAACCGTTTTAATAAAACATTTTTGCTGTAATGGCGACATGACTTCTAGATTTGTCAAGTTTTGCTTTTTACTTTGATTGACGCTATCTTGATTAATTGGCTGATTATTAATATCCAATGGATTCTTTTTATCCAGTAAGCTTCCATCTTGTCTTAGTTTATTGCTCTTGGTATCTTGTGTTGATGATTTGAATGGAGCATTTAAAGATTCCAATGACAATTTGGAAAATAAATCATCCAGTCCATCGAACGACTCCATAACAGTTTTCTCCGATCTGTAAGTATAAAATATATCAAAGAATGCTTTCAAATGTTTCAATTAAACGCTAGTGTTAATCTACGTGTATCTTTCGCTACGCAATCCATTCACAGAGGACTAAATTAGTACGTCTGGATATCGTTAACCCTCTTCTAAAAATGGCTCCATGTTGAAACGATTGGCCAACACGTGGCCAACAAGGGTTGAACTACGCGTACAGTATTCCATTTCTACTTGTACAGTATAGCAATTGTCCACTAGCAATGCTAGTTATACGCCAACTAAATAGCTCATGCTTTAATTAAGCAGTCTTTCATGGCTAGAAATCCAACTTGCAGAACTGTCATCCACTAAAAAGGGCTGGAAAACATGACAGTATCTATTATCATTTCTATTTCACTAGAAAAGGTTAAAAACCTTTTAGTGGATCATTTCCTATCCTTAAAAACGTTTAAAAATCATAGATTAATCTATTCTTGGCATGTAAGCTAAAATACAAGGGTTACCTTTCCACCATTTCTGTTCTGAATGAGGTCATTAAGGACGCATACGTTCCAGATGGATCTCAGGTTTTCACACTATTGACCACGAGTTAAAGTCTTGATCTCTTAATAGGACAAGTTTAGATTTCTAAAGGACAGTTTACAACTTTATAGAATTATCCACATCAGCTAATGCGAGATGATTTGGGGATCTAATCAAGGATCTTAGGCCTTCGTATGTGTTTCTGCCGACTAGATACTGTAGAAGGAAGTAATACCATGGAGACAGTAGTCATGGAGAAGATGAGTCCACAACTGGCTTTCTCTGTAAATTATAAACTATTATCGAAGCTAGCAGCTACGACAATATCACTACCCAACGGTAGAGTACTCTTTTGCGGTGAGGTAGTTCTGCAGACCGCTATATTATAATCATAGCATTGCTCCATTTCCGAGCTGAAGTTGAACTTGATCCTTTGGATCTTATGCACTTTAGAAGGTAAGACTGGTGCATTGTAGGCTATTTGTAACTCCAATTTGAAGAATTTATCAACATATTTAACCGAACCTCTGGCGTCCCTCATTTCCAAGTAATTGAGCTGGATTTCATCACAGATCGACAGACTAACATTAGTTTGTATTGCAATCAACTGCAATCGGCATTTATGTAACATGATTTTTCCAACCTTAATTTCTCTTCTAATGATACAATTAATAATTGTCATTGCTCCTGAGAAAATAGCGTAAACATTATTTCATCATCATCATACTTATTGGAACTGTCTACCGTAAAATAGCCGAGTGTAGATGATGATAAGTCATGGGCTTAGCTGCATCATGATTCAATGGTGTAATCATTATTTTATGATGATGACGATCAGAGAAAACTACTTGACAACTGTAGTAACACCTCATTTTATTGAACGGTGCTGGAAGCATAAAATTGCAAAATATCAATTTATTCTTGCTTATAATTAGATATGGACGATAACATAAAATCCATGCATTATATTAGAATTCCCAGCGTTAAGATATTGGCCATAAAAAACATTACAATGTCATGTACTACAATAAGTATTTTTTAGAATGAAATGAGTACAAACTACCGCAAATATATTTACACAGAATTGAAATTTTTCCGTTCTAGTCATAGTTCAACGGTGATATGCCAGGTCACTTTCTGCTAAAGATAGATTTAATCCAATTCCAAACTCCTTTCCTTTCAGGCTCAGCAGACTCTTCGTCTTCGTCTTCAAGGCTTTCTTGTGCGCGAGCTACCGCTCTAGCATGTGCAGCTTGTTTTAATTGCTTCTTACGTGCTTTCTCCATCCAGAATTTTTGTGCTTTCTTTCTTAAATATTTCTCTTTCTCTGTTACTGATCTACGTTTAGCATCTAAAATCTCCCATTCACAAATACCGATATTCTTTTTAATTTCATTCATTTCATTTTTAATTTCTCTAATTTGTAATTTTTGCTCTTTAAAGGCTTTAGTTGGTTCCTCTTCTATAGCAAGTGTTAGATTGAACTGATATGCATCTCGTTTACGCTGTAAATTGTCCATGGCTTTTTGATACTTTCGGATATCTCTCTTTTTAAGGTATATGACTCTAGATAGGATCTTTTTACGTAGATCAAAGGCAAATTCTGAGTTTAATTGTTTATCAGGTGTACGCAAGATGTAATTATCTAGACTGCCAGCTCGTTCTATTTGTTTTAAAGCAGACATGGTAGTTGGGACTCGAAGCGTCTGATCCAGGATATCACTAAACAGTTTCATTGTTTGGACGTTGGGATGCCATTTGCGTTTAATCCTTGAAAAATGATCAAAAAATTCATCGATTATTTATTGGTGAAATCTATTGCACACCAGATCGAGTCAACATCAATATTATTGTATCAAACAATTGTTTATAGCTTTGTCATTTGTAGACGAATGTTGCATAGTCCACTACAAATACTGCCTCTCTCTCGGTACTGAATAGCCTAAGCCATTGGTAGAATGACAAGAATAGCATGTTTCATCTTGATTAGTAACCTGAACTTGCATTGATGGTGTTTTCATTAACACTATGTTTATTCTGCATCGCACTAGCTGGTCATTTGATAATATACAGTATAGACTTGTTCTAGTACCACTTTTAAATAGCTCGTATTCATCAGCATCTTGAATTGGAGCGTGAACTTGCATTGATGATGTGTTAATTAGCACTGTGCTTTATTCGATATGGCACTATCACTTGGTAGCATAAGTACTTGTCTAGATCGCATTAATCAACAGAGCTATTTAGCAGAATTAGTAATGTAAAATGGACGAATGCGTCTGTTCTCGTATCACATGTAACGACTGAAATGGTATCTAATAATTGCGTGAGCGAAACAATTTTGCTTGATCACTTAATTATTGATGTCAGGAGAAGATAGGATGGTACAGTCAATTGGGGGATTGCTTAAGCTAGCCCTACAGTAAACTTTATACGAGAGTATGTTAACAGAAAGAATGACTATACTAATTATGGGTAAAATTTATCGCTGTGATAATTACTCTTGCAGACGGTCAAAGTTGATGTACAACGTGGTATTTCCTATTCTTGACGGTGTACGCGTATACGGGTAGTAAATCTTCGTACAGTTAGGTCATTTCCATGGTAGGAGGATTGTTGGATACATGGAAACAGTATGCATGAATCAGGCATCGCTGTTAACTGCATGCTCTTCCTGCTAACATGGTGAATACTGGACTATGCATAGATAGATGGAATGGCCGTTCTGATTGACTACTCAAGCAGACAGTGATCGCTAATGTACAGGATTGTCGTGATTATGTAAGCTTGTCATTTCCGCGATGGAATTTTCTAAGCTGGTGCTACGCAAATCTTGCTAACTTAATGCATTACTAGGCATGGATTGAATTCCATTCTGAAGGACTAATTAAGGGGTAGTTATTGTTCATATCAAATGTTGTCTCCAATAATCTTTCACTATAAATGTTTCATTCCGTGAGATTTTCTAATCTGGTCTTATCCACACTTGCTAACATAACGAATTACTATGCTTATCGCCATGATTACTCAAACAAGTAGTGAACGTCTAGCGCTGTCTTGATTATTCTTGACGATCGATAACTATTCTACTGGTCAATATTGTAGAGAAACGCCATTTGTAGATACTTATCACACTATGATGCTGTACGTGCATCAAGAATGGCAGCGAACTGTTTGAGCTAACTTTATGAATTACTATGCATGAATAGTGTTTAAACTGGTCAATAGTGTGCAGACATTCTATTTTCCGAGGTGGTTGTCGACTGATTTTTCTCATGCATTGGCGTACTATTCACGAACAAAATTGACTATTACAGCAGGTCGTTCTAGCTAGTCTACAGCGTTAAACATCTATCTCCTTGACGGTATAGAACCATTCTACTGACGAATACTGTACAGATGTGTCATTTCTGTGATGAGAACATTTCGAGATCGATGTCTATTATGGCTACTGTAGGTCAAACAAGGCAGCTCAGCTTTACAGCAATTGCAAGATGGTGCTATACTACGCTTCTTGCTATCTGAATGTATTCTAAACAGCAGGATAGAATAGACCGTTGTGAGTGATTACAGTAACAAGTAGGGTAGGACTGAAGATTGACAGTACTATAGTGAATCTTGTTAACCCTAGACAGCTTCACTTTAGAAATAGGCATGAACAAGCTGAGGAAAGATGTCCATTAGCAAGAATGGACCCTTCTCCCCAGCCTAATAAAGTAGCACATGGTGCTGGACGCTACTTACTTATGCTTTCTACGCTTGGTCGTATAATAGCCACTAACCACTCCTTCACCGCCCCATAAACCTTTTTGTGAGGCTGGTGGATAATACGGCGCTCGTAGAATGGATAATAAAATCGCTCGAACCATTTTGGATTATTTTACAAGCAAGCGACGATGAAGGATTGCAGCTTGCGGAGGACCACCATCGCCATCCACTGGCTAATTTAAAAGGGGATATACCGGCTGCTGCTTTGGCCGTTAGAGGAAAGTGCTACAGTCCACCCACTGTACTCAACACAGTGCATTGTACTGTGCTGTATCCTACTGTGGTGCCAATACCATGCTGTAATAGGAATTAGTATTAACTTCGTACTGATGAATCAGTGGTGATAGTCAGGTCTGTACAGGACTGTGGTTTGATAAAATCTCTGAAGGTTTGATTTGTGATTCGTCTCCACTCTCTTGTCCTGAGTGCAGAAGAACTAATTTGATGGTAGAAGGCTAGCAGCCAAGTTGATTGGCAATGTTAGTAGGCAATGCACTAGTAGAAATACTGATTCTGCACAGGAACACTGTATAGTATGCAATAGACAGTATATCAAGTGACTATGGAAGAAAACAATGACTCCCGGCCTACATCAATATAACTAGCATTTTGCTTGATGTTGTAGGACTTGCATTACAGCAGTGGATATGAATGGAACCTGCACTCGCCTATCTTGAGTAGAAGCAATGGTAGAAGGCTAGCAGCCAAGTTCATTTACAATGTTGTTATACAATGCACTGGTAACAATACAGATACAATATACAGTATATCAAGGAACTGCTGAAGAAAAAATGACCCCTTGCCTACATCAACGCAGCTTGTCCTGAGTGAAAGCAATGGTAGAAGGATAGCAGCCAAGTTCATTGGCAATGTTATTATTATGCAATGCACTAGTAGCAATACAGACTCTGCACAAGAACACTGTATACGATGCGACATATAGTAAGTATATCGAGGGACTACGGAAGAAAAAATGATCCCTTGCATACATCAACATAACAGGCCAGCACATTGCTTGATGTTATAGGACTTGTAGAACAGTAGTTGATGTCAATATTGCGTCATCACTTCACGGAATACTGTAGTCTTTCAGAAGCACTGTGGACCAATGGTTGGATCAAGTACAGGAATTAGTATTGATAGATATTGGTTCATTTGCAGTACAGTATTTTATAAACAGTAAGAGCAAATAACGCGAATTCTACAGCAGTAACGCAGGCCGCACCCGCTTACATCAACGAGCAAACAAATCGGCGAAGGGTATCCGGTCCCGATCAAGAATGATGACACCTCATCTCTGTTTGCTCGATTTTGTGTGACGCAATTATGTCCCAGTAAATTAGTGCATATGTTCTTTAATATCTTGAATCGATACTGGTCTAGAGTCTAGAAAAAGTATTCAGAATGACTGTTGTCGTCTTATCGACACTCGATCTATAGTACGAAATAGGCCGTCTGAGGTGTGGAAGACAGTATTACTAAAATGGATGCAAATACGGATCCAATTCGAAGATACGAATTTGCATACTTTTTCGAATACTACACGAGCGTTAATATTTATACATATTACATATAATCAGTTGACAATTTACGAACTGGACTCACACAACTAGTCTTACAGCACTTCGAAACGCACTACGCGTACGTAGATATCACACGTGAATGCTATCATATCATGTCGGTTATAACTATTACGAACTTAGATTGCGTGAGTCATTTAAACCAGAAAACAGATGCCTATATTAAACATATCGGTATCTTACCTTAAAAGACACAGTATTTCTATATATTTTCTGCAGTAAAGTACTGACAGACCAGTGCCTCAATCAAACTTGAGCCAACGCAAAAGAATTACAGTATAAAATTATATATACAAGGATGCACCGAGTCAATATATGATTTATATGCTGGAATTTTATTTACTATGTCTATACAATATTTACATGAAACCAACATATAAGGCTTCACTATGAGGACGATGATGAACAATTAAAACTCTTGCTTCCGGATATCATTAATTAGCTAAATGTAGCTGATATAGCGTGATAAAAATGATACAGTATGATACTAAATATTAAATAAACCATGGAAAGTAGAAATAGAAAATTACTAAAAAATGCAATCAGCACATTTAGACTTCCAGTGCTACAAGATGAGCAATAGCCATCACAAAATACGAGAGGTTGGATCATTTGCTATTATTAGCGCTTGGATGCAGCGGCTTTACAGACTGCTTTTTGGATAAACCGATTCGAACTACCGCTGCTGAGGGACTTGCAACGGAACCTGGGGATGGCAGAGGAGTACTTCCCAGTCCGGAGTTGGCTACAAATTAATAATTATTCAAAAGCAGCAATAAATAAAATGTGTACAAAATTGAAATGGACGAGAAAAGCATAGCCTTCATGTGTCTTACATGTAGAAGAACTTCTTGACATTCCAAGACTCTTTCTTCCAGATTTACCAATACTTCGCCCCTTCTTACCGGGAGTATTGTCTGCCTTATTTACAACTGGTTTATGTGATAGGTTCATGAATACGTAGTAAGATTCATTGCTTTTTAACAGTTTTATAAAAATTGCTGAATAGCACTTACCAGTAACATTCCATCGAGGACGAGGGCGATTTGGTTTGATTTTATCGAGGTTGATCTTTCTAGGGCTAGCAGTTTTTTTGACAGCAGGCTTAGCTTTACGGGGTGTAACTTTTTGACGCTTATTGTTGGTTGCTGCTGCTTTTTTACCTTTCTTAGTCGTAGCCGGCGTCTTTTTCTTGGATCCTTTAGGCTGAGGTACGAATTCCTCGCTAATATCACTGCTATTGCTGCTGTCTTCATCGTCTTCATCCTCTTCCTCTTCCTCAGCAGAGAAAGCACTCTCATCATCGTCATCATCTGTTTAAGAAAGTTTGAGCAACAACATAAAACCATTAATAAAATCATTAAGTACCGGTAATAAATAAGTAAGCAACTCTAACGTCAGTGGCTGACATTAAGCTTTAGCTATGAAAAGAGATCTCAATCAGATGTTGATTACCTTCTTCGTCTTCGCTTTCTATCTGTTTCTTACTTTTTTTGACTGCTGCTTGCCTACGCGGTCGTCCAGGTGTAGAAGCAGCAGCAGTAGCAGCTCTTTTGCGACCTTTCTTAACCGGCTTAACTTCGCTCTCATCAGATTCCTTGCCTTCTTCACTTTCTTCCTCTTCCTTAGCTTCATCTTTTGGTCATCAAAATCCCCCCCAAAAATTTATATCGAGATTAGCGGTAAGGGCAAACTATCGGCTGACGAGACGTTACTATTTTACTCTACACTTCAAGCTCCAAACTATATTGTATCTATAACTAATGTCTGTCAACAGTGCAAAACAGTAAAAAAAAATACCTTCGTGAACTGAGTCAGCAGCTGCTTCTTCGTCGTCCTCTAAATTCTCCGAAACTAATTCCCCACTTTCATTTTTACTTTCTCCTGTTGAATCTTGAGAGGCTTTAATTGCCGCTTCCAAGTCTCGCTGGAACATTTTTTCGGAACGCGATAATCTGTCGAAAGTTACAAATATAAAGTTAATGTTGACTTTAGTAATCCATGATGATAACGCTGGCCGTGAAAGGCTGCATTTGCTTACTGATGACTGTTTCAATCGCTTCCAATACTTGATTGAATTGGATCAATTTAGTACAGTAGCACGATATTACTAATACTGTGCTGTCTATAGATGGCCTAATCCAAACCACTTAAGGCAGGATTACGGTTCAATATTATAATAAGGCTTTTTATCACTACAGATTGACGACAGTCAATGCAAGTAATCAGAAATTACGTAAGGTATTTAAATCTTTCATCGATTCGAATAAGTTCATCTGTATTGCTAATACGTATACTGTAAGTCTAGACAGGTTTAAAGCCACACTGTGCTGAGTTGAAAGACCATGGAACCAATCAACGACGATTGAAAGATAATAGAAGCCTGGAAGCGCAACTGTAGCCTTTTTCTAGCGTTAGTGTACTCGATTACCTAGGTTTGTTAGGGCTTGCTAAGTTGTTGGTTGCTGGTGTAGCATTTTTCGATAGAGTTTCCTTCTTTTCCTTCCCTTTGCGGGATGTTGATTTTGTTTTTTTACCTTGTGACGTTTCCTGAAAGTCATCTAGAAAGAAAATTGATCCACTTTTACATGACTGATTTTCGATATGTCCATATATAGGATTAGACAGTACGGTAGCAATTTGAGTCAGTTGTAAACTACATTAATCCGACTAGACTATCATTGATGACTGTTGTTCATATTGATGATCCAGATCGAGATCATCAATACCGTAGATAAACAAGTTTGATATTGAATATGAAATATGTTGGAGGTACATTACCATCACTGGCGTCTTCTACCACATCAAACTTGCTGTAGTCGATTTGTTTTCGAGCTCTGTGGGTGATAAAAAAAGTTGTCAATTAACTTGTGTCAAATGAAACAGTCATCCCGTTTTGCTCCTGCAAGTGAATTGATTCAATCAAGCAGACTACAGTAAGTATCTACTACAGTAGCACAGGAGCGACGTCATTCATGGGTAGAAAGCGATCCATCTTTGGTAGTAGACAAAATGGTATGTTCTATGCAATGAAGTATCTATCTATGGTGTGATGATGCTCGAGTTATTGAAGGACAAGTGAGTTTCATGATTTCGGAGTAAGATAGAAATGGCAACAATCAATACCGAAAGCACTCTTACTGCAGTCTATTCCGACTGTGGTCTTGTGGAGATCGATTTTGAAATACTGTACTGTAACTAACATGATGCCACCTTTATTTAGTATGAAGACAGTAAAAAGTTGAGGGTAAAGTTCCTCCTGGTTGCAATAACATGCTACAGACTGTTTAGCAAATCGCTTTGGATATGTAACACTATCTTGATTCAGGAATGACTGATTGAGAAAGACGCTTTCTAAGCTAGTGTCATGTCCGATCGCTGTTGTTGTTGTTTTACTGCGCATTTTCCACTACATGACTACCGTCCAATTCTTTCTTCCAACACTATTGATTGGTGTGCAATAACAAGGATGCCTTTCGACATGCATTTGAACCAATGGATACCATCAAATAGCGTACCTTAAAGAAGACATGGTGGAAACTGCATCCGATGCAAGTCGTTTTCATTCAGAAATTAGAGCCAAGGCGGACAAAAGATTGGATCATTTCTCTCCTCCAGCAATAGTGGATTCCCTTGTCATTGTTCCTGCAGGAGGTACAGTCTGCACGCTACAGTGCACCACTGGACTGTAGTCATCCTGAGTTGTACTGTAGTCTACTGTACCTCCTGTACCCATAGCATCAGACTGCTACAGTATGCTGGTAGCAGTGATCGTACTGTACACTGTACACTACGATCACATTTCCAGCGCATGTTGGCGGGAAAATACTTGAACCAACGACACCATTTGTAGGGTCGCTGGTTGTACTGTACAGTACAGTACAGTACAGTACGGTGGAACGCGGTACTGTACACTGTACACTGTACTGTAGTCTTGCTTTACAAGGTAGTTGAGGCTTCACGACACGAACTACAGCACTATGAGATGAACAGGCAAATCTTGCTTTACAAGAGTGTTGAGGCTTCAACTCGAAACGAACTACAGCACTATGAGATGGACAGGCAAATCAAACACTACAGTACTACAGTATACAGTACTGTACACCATTTCTAGTGTCGTTTGTTCTACTGTACTGTACACTGTACAGTACAGTACAGTACGGTGGAACGCGGTACTGTACACTGTACTGTACTGTACTATACTGTACTGTAGTCTTGCTTTACAAAATGGTCGAGGCTGCAACTCGACACGAACTACAGCACAATGAGATGGACAGGCAAATCAACAGTACACCATTTATACTGTAGTGTCGTTGCTTGTACACTTACAGTACTTGAATGTACAGTACACGTACTGTACAGTGTACAGTACGGTGGAACACTGTACTGTACTGTACACTATGAGATCCACTATGAGATGGAAAGGCAAATCAAACACTACAGTACAGTACTGTGTATACCATTTCTAGTGTACTGTACAGTACTGTAATGTACTGTACACTGTACAGTACAGTACGGTGGAACGCAGTACGGTACTGTACACTGTACACTGTATACTATGAGATCCACTATGAGATGAACAGGCAAATCAAACACTACAGTACTGTACTGTACACCTTTTCTAGTGTACAGTACAGTAGTTTGTTCTACGTACTGTACACTGTACACTGTACCGTAGTCTCGCTTTACAAAGTGGTTGACGCTTCAACTCGACACGAACTACAGCACTATGAGATGCACAGGCAAATTAAAGTATACAGTATAGTATTTCAGCATGCTTTGCGTAACTGTACTCTGGCTTTCATCTTAATGCATCATGTCTATCTCAATATCCAATTCAGACTCATACTGTCAATGGATAGTAATGTTGTATGGAATATAGAAAAAGTCACAGAGCATTACCCTTGCCAACACTGTCACTACCGTGACTTACAGTACAGTAATTACAGTAAGCAATTAAGGCAAGTCCAAAATGATGCGAAGTGTATTTTCACTGAGAACGAAGTTAGTTGTGAAAATAGCAATGCTACCGAAACGACACCAGTGGAGTCTATCAGACGTATAGTACAGTACAGTACAGTACTGAGCTGCACAGAATCGGCCCTTGACAGTCTACCGTCCTGGACAATGGACATCTACAGTACAGTACACTTGTACAGTATATATTGTACAGTACTGTACTACGTGTACTGTACACGGTACATTCAACTTGGCGCGAAATCCAATCCATCAAAATAATAAAGAATGAATGCTGTCGCTGGAGCAGCTCTCTTTAGCGATCCAATCAAGTCATTTCTTGGCTACAAATAGTTGAATATTGCAGCTATCCCTTCTACTATTGCATGAAATACTGGTTTAAAATCCATTGCAGTCATTAAAACCACCATTACTGTTGTTGGAGGACATTCACCAATTGATTGGAGAGAGAGAGCGTCAAAGCAAGAAATCCCTGACAGCATTGACTCTTGCCCTACAGACATCAGAATCCATCAAGTTGATCTCAACTTTTCTCAACCAAGGAATCATTCATTACTGTTGTTCATATTCAGAGAGAGCTAAGGTATGGAATAATAATAGGTGCTAGATAGATAGGCTTGATAGTAGAATTGCATATTTTAGGCTTTGAGGTTGCTTTGCTATCATGTCGTAACGGACATTGTCCATCAAAGATAGGATATCATTCATGCATGTTCGTGAGTGATCTTCTTGTGCAAAAAGCTCGTATGGATATGGATACTCATCACTAAAAGAGATTTTTATCCTTCTTGTTCAATTTTTCAATAGAAATGGTTATAGTCAAGGAATGTATGAGATTTGCTCACAGCGAAGGCCATACCGATGTTTGCTATAGTTCTAATGGAGAGTAAGTCAGCCTAATGCTTCGTTGATAGAGTAGCTTTCAACGTAACGTGTACGTATGGTCTCCTACACTGATGTAGCACTCGGAGTAAAATAAGAAACGATCACCTATGCAATAGTGTTAATAAAAATTAAAGAATGTCTAAGTGATTTTGTTTGGTCAGGAGACGAATGGATAGAGCAAAAAGTAGTCTTTAGCATTCAATAATTAAAATGAAACATACGGCTTGATGGACTGTATTTCTTGCTATAGGCATTTAGCAACAGCAGGTAGTGATGGCGATGTTAGAATTTACCATGGTCACGACGATGATGATCCAGTTTCAGTTGGAGTCAAGCATCCAGTAAACAGTATTGCTGTTAAGGTATTATAAATGGCAATTACTCACTATGAATTTTTTAATTATGAAATAATTCAGTGACTATATTTTGTACTCGATCGTATGCATCGTTAGCAATGTTTCTATCTCAAATACAACGGTGTAAATGGAAGTTAGAGACTTTGATAACAGAAGCAAATCATTCATGATGCCATTTGTAATTGAATTGCTCTTAGTTCAAACGGCATTGCCTACAGCGTCTAATATATATGTTTGACTAATAGTTATCACGTGTAGAAAGTAATTTAAACGACTTCGTAAGACAGCTGCAGTAGTATTTCTAATACTCAGACGGATATGCTCAAGATCAATCTTTTCTCATCCTGATATCAAATCATTTCAGAATAATTTCCTTGTCGCTGTTGGTGAAAGTAATTCTGTGTGGATGTATTCTTTTCCAACGGTAAATTGTCGCAAACACTTTTCTTGATAAAGTGTACTGCTGTGCGCCTACAATCGTCTTTGTGCGTATGGATTGTGCTCTTGCTGTCGCTCATAGGCTTCAAGCAATGCTTCGTCATTGACAATGGTATTATGTTTCCTTAGGGTACCCCTGATGGAATCGTAACACGATTTACAGCACAAGTTTCTCATGTCACTTTTAATCAACATGGAGATAAAGTTGCTGCCGGAGCTGAGTAAGCTGATGTTAATAGTGACTTATAAATTGGATAGCATTTGTTAACATATGCATGGGATAAAGAATATTATAGACGAAATGAATGGATTTCCAGATTTAAAATACATTGAATAAAGTAGTCATGTCATAGTTGTTCCGTCATGTAGTGGCGTTCAATATATATATATATTTTTAACTTGACTTAACTGTTGCTGATAAAATGTCTGATATATATCTTATAATTATTTATTAAGGGATTTCGAAATTAAAGTTGTCTCTGTTAATAACTATAACAATCATACTTTAACTGGTCACGAAGCTCCTATACTCACCGTAGCATTCGATCCAACTGACAGTTATTTGGTAAAATGATTACCGTACATGCAGCGTAAATTCTCAAAACTGTGTTTCTGTTAGTGACTTGATTCAATTTCAATACATCACCTAGGTATCGTCAAGTTGCGACGGAACAGTGAAAATTTGGGATATGAAAACTTATGTAAGATGCAATTTCGACAATGTTTGCATTATTAGGATAATAAAATCATAAATAGTACAATAATGCATCCGACACTTGGGAAGCAATTGATGGACAAATTAACACAATCTTACTATTGCCTTAACAAATACAGGATTGCAGTCATTCGCTATCCATTTTGCCTAAATGCAATGATATTTCGGCCACTAAATCGTTTTGTCGTTTAGCCTGGCAACCTAAGAGTGGAGAATTATTAGCAATACCCATAGACTGTGCTATTGAGGTTAGTATTGATAAACTGATATGTTGTTGCTACCAGTCATAGCGTAATTTAAGCGATATTTGTACATTGAATATACAGCTATATAAGCGTTCTTCCTGGAAAAAAATTGGAAATTTGAGTGAAAATGGTCATGAAAACGTATGTAATAGAGATAGTTACCGTTAGGAAGATATGTGCAATATATTAAATTTAACCTCAATTTGTATAGATCATAAGTACTTTGGTATGGTCTCCCAATGGTAAATATTTGGCTTCCGCTGGAGATGATGGAGTCATAATTATTTGGAATGTATCCAGGGAAGAAGTAATTGATAAGTATGTTATTAAAATACTTCTATTTTTAACTATCGTTCTTTTCTCCCGTATAAAGTTTGCGCTAAATTCTATTTCTGTACTCGTTCCAAAACACTGTACCGATAGGGTAACGCACGATAAAAACCTAAAAATTACTGGTCTGTCTTGGCACCCGTCTGCTAACGAAATTGCCTATACTGATATCGAGGTAAGGAAGAAGTTTCATATACCTTTAAATCAGTGTATACTTTTGATTAAAGAATTATCCGTCTTTATCTTGATAGGGTCAATTAGGCATCTGTAGCAATATTATTCCAGAAGATTTATTAAAGAAATCTAGTGAAAAAAGGGTATATTACATTGTAGGATAATTTTCAGTTAAAAATATATTTCATTAAATTCTACCTGTCTGCTGTCTTCAGAAAATACATCAGACTTTGAAAAAGGATGCAGATGATGATGTAAACAATGGAATTGATCTAAAGGATATCGATTCATTGGACGATGAAATGGTATTGGACCAGCAAAAGAGGTGTAAACGTAGCAATTTTGTTATCGACAGCGCAGAGGAAGAAGATGACAATATAAGTATGAGAAAAGTAACACACAATCTTTTTTTTGAGGTTGCAGTTATTTCATTAAAGACAAGGCTGGCAATATGAAATAATTAGCTCTGACTTTTTAGGTCTATCGTCCGGAATAGACAACAACCTTGATAGATTTATTGTTGAAGATGACAAAGTGGTTAGGAATAAAGTTGTCAAATATAACTTTAAAATGGCATTTTATATTTATGTACTAACGCTCCGGCTTTATGATCCATTTTAATGTATGTTATTACGACACGGGCCATAGACCGTACGGAGGCAGCCTAAACCCGTTGCCATCACACTACAACGGGAATTTCAGCCTGGTTCAACACCAAAATACCTGAATCATCGAATTATGGTTGGATACTAAAATTCATAACGTGCATGAAGTGACGATATAATCTAATTATGTTCGCTTTCACTTAGATGTGGAACTCTGTTGGTGTTGTGCATCATCACACAGAAGATGATCTATCGTCAATTGATGTAGAATTTCATGATGTCACTACGCATCATGCATTACATATTGCTAATCATCTAAATCATAGCTTGGCAGCTTTATCATCGCAAGCTCTTCTTCTTGCTTCTGAAGGAAATGATAGTATGGCTAGGTAATACAGTTAGCATTAGTACCATCATTTCATTTACTTTGCCACTATTCAAGCTAGATCACTACAATACAATATAATTACAATGGTTTATTTCGATAGGTAATGATCGAGTAGTTATACTAGAAGTACTAATTTTATCTTTTAATTTGCAATCCTTACTACTAGTACTTTAGTTTGTTTACATTTCTCTACCTGGGATAACTCCAAAGAATGGTCAACTACCATGCCAGAAAAAGAGATTATTAAGGTATCTTGATGCATTACTTTTAGTTTCTTACTATCGGTGTACTTACGTGTATTTAACCTAATTATGTTGTAGGCCATTGCTGCTGGTAAAACCTGGGTAGCTGCAGCCACTGACAATTTTAACGTTAGAATATATTCGATATCAGGAATACAATTAGGAATATTTACTTTGGCAGGCCCTGTTGTAGCCATGTCAGGACATGATGATATCATTATGGTGGTATATCATGCTGGAGTACCTTTCGACAATAATCAGCGATTTAATGTTAAGATCATTGATGCTAAGAAAGGTCGTTCCATTTATAAATATTTAGAACCTGCTTTACCTATCACACCTGGATCAAAGCTATCATGGCTAGGGTAATAGTAATTGTATTGTGTATTGCAATGAAAAGCTGGCGGCTATTATTTATCATTGTTTAATTCTAATCTTTACGTGAACGTATAGTTTCAGTGATGAAGGCGTACCCGTCACTTACGATACTGCTGGAATAGTGAGAGTATTACAAAAATCGTATGGTTATAGTTGGATTCCTGTGCTAAATGCCAGACAGCTGGTATGCTAGCATAATGACTCAGCAATCCTCTCATTGCTACTTTTTTGATATTAACTATATATGTCGTCTTAAAATTAATACATGAAATGCTTTTATCAGTCGAAAAACAAATCAGATACTTATTGGGCAATTGGGCTAAATGGCAACTCACGCCAGCTGCGCTGTATTTTATGTAAAGCGTCCGCTTATCCTTCTACTGTACCACGTCCCGTGGCGACCGTATTACCACTTCAAATTCCCTTATGCGAGATAAATACCGACAAAAGCTCCCTTGAGGTTGGGCTTACTTAATAGTTCTAAATATAATTAAACTTGATGAAACGTAACTGGACAATGCATGTTAATAGGAAAGATATCTTTGGAATAACAATGCTAAATTTATGAAGCTGCATGATGGAAACAACGTGAAGGAACAAAATGCTACTATTATGAAACTATTTGCGGTGAATACTATGAATTACATAGTAGCATTTTATTGTTTTTACTTATTGATATGAGAATACAACAGTTTCTCTTAAAATATCCATGTCAATAATATACTCATATCAATATTGATTTCAGTTGGCATGTAAGTCTGATCGTGAATTTCGTGCAGCGGAATTATGTGAACTATTATCTGATGAACATACCGTATGTATATGTACTTTTATTGGAATTCAAATGTATATTGGGAAATAGCAACTATTATTTCTTTTACAGATTAGCTTAGCTATTAAATATGCTGCGCGTAATAGGCGAATGGCGTTATCTCAAAAATTGGAAGATATTTATCAGCGAAGAATGGAATTAGGTGATAATCTAGAAATTGAAGAAGATGAAGAGGAAGAGGAGGAGGGAGGCGGTAATTTCCTGGAACCTCCGCGGCGAAAGTTTTTTAGCGATTTATCTGCTCTTTCAAGGGAATATGCTAGTCCTCTAACAAAACGAAATGAAGAATTACAAACAGATAACGGGAGTGGCATCGTATCGCACAAGAAGAATTCCAGAACCACTGAAAATGAGTTAGTTATCATATCCAAAATTTTTTTAGTCCATTTTCGTAATATTTCGGACATTACTTTTTTATAATGTTATTCGCAATTTGTAAACATATACTATAGGTTCGAAGATGAACAAGTAAAGAATAGTTCATTTTTAAGTAATGCTGATTCACTTGACGGCAAGGGTAAGTACAGCTTTAGAAGTTATAGTTGGGTCATGTATAGTACTACATATACACCTAGATTTAAGTAGATTTATTATATTTAACATAGCAGATCGTCTCATGCCTGTTGTTGAAGCCTCTAATCCTTTCAAAGTATGAGCAATTCGACACTCGATATAGATACTTAAGTTTTAGAAAGAAGATTTTAATTTACAAATTTGATTGACAGGTATCTGAGAGCCCCAGTAAGACGTCACGATTAAGGGGTATGAGCTATTTCGATAATCTTACGAATAGTGACATTACTCCTAAACGAAGAGGTTATCCTGGAAATCCTGCAGGTACTCAGTTACAATTATTATCATGAAATCTGTTCACGTTCGTGCCATTAACATTAGTTATTAACGTTTTAGAACAAAAGCGAGAAAATATGAAAAAAGTTAAAGTTCAGGTATGATTTGACACTGCCATCACTATTTACGACTAAGTGAGAATAACTAAGTAACTGTTTAACTTTTGCATCACGCATACTTTATAGCGCCAAGCGAAGTTATTTGACACCCTTAAAGAGACTCGAAAAGCCGAAGAAAAACCGGAAGTGAAGGAAAAAAAGACCAAGTCAGTCGGAAAAAAAAGTGACGATTACATTATCCTACAACATAATCTGAATAAACAATTTCTTTTTAGGGTCTCATCGTTCACACTTTGGTTCGATTCAATCCGATCGCATTTAGAAAAAGAAAATCCTACTGCGGCACATCGAGAAATTATCAGTCTGGCAACGAAAAAATGGCGTCAAATGACCGCAGATGAGAAAACGGTAATGCAGATGAAAACGTTAATGGTAGAACTTATGTTTTATAGCCACGATTACATTTTTCATTCTGCAGAAAATTAATTTGTTTACATTTAATTGATTATATATGCACTACATTATGGTAACACGATTGATAAACCGCTATGTATTTACTGCCAGATTTGGTCCTTTAAAGCATCTCAAGATACTGATCATGGAGAGTCTCAAGGTAATATTAGCGTTACCTTGGATGAAGGCAGCCAGTAGCGTTGCTTTGCTTACTTTTATTGTATATAAAAGTGCGAACCAGTTTACCAGAATATTCTGACTGCCAGTGGTATTCGTTGAAACGATAGAAATGATCTCCAAAATTGATTTATTATCAGTAATAAGTCATAATCTTAAATTTTACATGTAGCTGATAAGAAACATTTTGTAATGTATACAGTACTTTCTTTGATTGATATTGGAAAGAATCGCCTGCTGTAGTAGGTGATTAAATATTAATAATCTATTAGATATAAAAATGTACACGTTGACTGATAATGATCTTCTTCAGTCTCTGAAATCAGTCTATAAATAAATTTTAAAATCATTTGTTGGATAACGATTCATAAATAGTTTAATATTTGTGTAGTGCTTAAGATCCTTTAACACATTTTTACATTGATAAAAAAACGATTTTACACATTGTGTTGGTATATTTAGCAGATTCAAGATAAGGATTACTAATTTAAATATACCGGATTAGCTAAAGTTTATTAAACCACTAGAGTCTGCTTTTAAGACAATTCTCGCGAGCCCAGCCACGCATAGACAATCGTAACGAGCCTTTTTAGTTATTACCCTACGTGTCGCTAACTGCTGATTCCTGTTTTGAACTGGCTGTAGCGATCGGATTGATTTGGATAATCAGCTTTGTAGGTATTCCCGATCCGTTTGTGATCCTGAGGCTGCTTGCTTTGTCGGTCTTTCTATCATCCTCTATTTCAGATTTCCTAACTTCATCTTCTGTAATAGCTTTCTTGCACCATCGACGCCTCTTCAAATAACCAATTATAGATATTACAATAATAGCAGCAGCGGCAGATGCTGTTAGTAGGATGGTTATTAAGGTCGTTTTATCGTTAGTTAAAGGAGTATTTGATGCTGAATTCGTCACTGATTGGTTATTACCTAACGTTAGAAATGGATCGGTTGTTGTTGCTGCAATCTTTTCCGTAGTGGAATTTAATACGAGATTACTAGAATATAGCCTTGTCATAACTGAGTTATCTTGGCCAAGTAAGGCTGAATTAGTTTTACTAGTGTCAATATATGAAAGATCACTATTACCAGGCTGAAATAGTTTTGCCGCTGTTGTCGTTACAAGTAGCATCAATACTTCATTATTACTTGATGGAGCTCCTTTTGTAAACGAAGCAGAAATTTCTAGTTCTGAGGATAATTCACTCAATGTTGTTGAAGTATCAAAAGATCGCGATCCAGAAGTTTTAGTTGTTTTTATGGTGCTTTCCCATAAACCACTAGTAACATTAACTGAAATATTTGCTGTGATATTAAGAATTACTGCGTGACCATGGCTATCAATACTTCCTCCGTGACCAGGTTGAAGACAATTCGGTGGCCGATAGCCTGCATCACAATGGCAGTGACCTTTGCTATTACAGACCTAAATCAAGAAATCATAATTAAGATCTCAACATTTCATTAATAATAATATCAACGCATGAAAGATTGCTAGTTAAACTTACCCCATGTCCAGAGCAATTGCTTGGTAAACACTGAATTATATCCGTTAACTTATTAATATCAAGGCATTGATGATTAATGCAGATTTTATCATGTCCGCATTTGGTCCCGTTAGCTACATGATTTAACATATTTATACTGTTTGCATCATTTATCGTCACACTTTTGCATTCTATATTTTGGCCATTCTATAAAATAAATGAGATAATATCAGTGTTTGGCTGCTTCAATTTAAAATTTACATTAGCCTATTTGTTGCATTTCTATTATTAAAGTAAAACTGCAAAAAAAGTAATCTTAAAGCTGCTGCACAATTACTTAAATGCAAATATCAAATTGCAAATTCTGATTACTTTTGGAAAATAAATTTTCGCTGTTTTATGGGATCTATCTATAACAGGATTATCAGCTGACGAATTGCATTGTAAAGCACCGCAATAGACATCAATTGGATTACATGGCTTGTAATCATTACCATTTTGCTTGCAAAATCCGTAATTATCACCTCTAATATTTAATGTATTCCAGCATATAGGTAGAGCTGGATAGCTAGTTGATCCCCATAATGTCTTGCATTGGCGATTAATTGTTAAGCAACTACCACGATAACAATACCCGGAACTGTTGTCACAAGGTGTAGTAGATTGCTTTACAACATCAGCTGGACAGGCTGCAGATTGGCCATTACAATATTCTGGCAAGTCACATTGGTTGATAGATTGACGACATAATTCACCAAAAGCTTTAAAATGGCATTGATTGCAGCATGGCCCAGATTGGCATTGAACCCCATCATATAATTTACAAGTTGTTGCATTACAACAAGAATTAGCGCATTCTTGCAAAGAGCCACAATCACATTCTTCCCCATTTTCTTGTAGGCCATTACCGCATCGTGGCGGAGTTATTACCTGTATCGGTTTGTTGAATAAACAGTCTACCTTCCCTTGTTGAATAGTTATATTTAGTTGATCAAGACTACAGGAGGAAAATGTTTGGGGTGGAGGTTCTGTTAATGCACTCGACATGATGCAGCGATATGCATGATCAGGTTTAAACTGGCAATGGCATACATCATTATTATCATGTCTCATGCCTAAGTTATGGCCAAGTTCATGAGCAATAACCGTCACCGTTGCGTCAAAATTATCGTCATAAGACTGGACTACGCCAACTGATTGAGGCGAACAAATCGTCGAAATATAAGCTAAGCCTAAAATTGATTGAAAATAAGAATTTATTGGTGTCAACTCATTATAAGAAAATAGTTCATAGCCGTTATGACATAAAGGTAGACAGAGGGCCTGTCGATATCAGTGCTCGACATATATTAAGCCGCAGTAATCAAGGCGGCCTTATATATTAGCTCTTTCTTAATCATTATACCGGTAAACTATTTTAATCACTCCCACTCAAGAGCACTATCAGAACAAATTTACATGATTTAAGATGCCTACTGCATTATGCATATTCTGTTTTCAAGGACGTTAACTATTTTAATCACAATCGATTCAAGTAGAATTACTGTGCCATAGTAAACCAACAGCTACAAATAGCTACTTTTACAATAGTTGTACTGTATTCTACTATCAACGATACATTTATTTTTAATCGGAACTGATTTAAGAGTAATTAAGATTATGGTATCAAAGTAAACGAAGTAGTGAAGAAAGCTACTTTATTCTATTAGCATTCTACTTTGAGGATATTAAAATACTAGAAAAACATTGATTAATATAGACTATGACAGAGCAAGTACGGCATGATGCAGCCTATTTATAATGAATGGTTACCTGAATGTTGATTTAATGATAATCCCGTTAACAGTTGTGCATTGTCGAGATTAAATAATTTGGATAAGGTGTTGATCTTGTAAGTGGCAAAGTTATCCAAGGTCCTACGAGCTTCATTAGTGACAGTAATTGGATTTTTAATATTCCAACTAACAATACCGGTTAATCCAATGCGTATATTGACGGATTTATAGATACTATCAAGGTGATTGACGATCTAGTAAAGGAGACGGACATGTTGTTTAGGCAATAAAATGGATATAAAATTACTGCTATAACAGAAGCTATTTGTTTTGATAAATGCAATGACGGTAAGAAGTAAACCTGAAAGATATTTTCTTCCAAAGCAGTTAAATTGCCTTTGAATTTTTGAACCTGTTGATAATCATTAACAATCACCAGCTCTATGTACATGGTATTAACGTTCAAGATACGTCTTTGTCGCCATAAGTCGGGTTTCCAATTGATTTCTTTACCTACTAGAGATGATGTATCTGCCTCTTCTATATTGCATATAGAGCGAGTAATTCGATGGTAATGGTTCAAGTGATTTAATTTGGAGACGACATGTAGACTATTTAAACTTGTGCTTTGTGGATTTGAAGGTTGTATTCGAAAAATTTCCCCTTGAAATGAAAATATACCTTGTAATCCATGGCAGCTACTTAAGATGGCGTAATTATGCGGATCGTTATTTTCCTGTATGAAACGTGAAGAAGAAAAATGATCATGACTGTCGAAGATGGTACAGGCTATACCGTACATACTGAACGCATACCTTTAGCAATATTGATCTAGTTCTTGTCTATTATTATACTAGTAACATTAGGATACAACTAAAGTTCTTTTCTTAATGTTCATATATTAAAATCAACATAATTATTTGTAGAGAATTGTATTTCTTTTGTAGTTCGCTTTTGCATTAAAGAATTGATGATGACAATTTACTTTGCGAGCTAATCTATGGCACAAAATCTTCTTTCTCAGATCTATGCAATGGCCTTCGGTTTAAGCTAGACAAAATGCTACACCCGATAACTACATCCAGAATTTTACTAACGTTATTATAAGATCTTTATAAAATTCTGCTTGCTAACAATTCTATCAAAGTACAGTATTCTACTGTGATTAGTTTCATACGTAGGTGCCTAAGTTGTGACCTTATAGGATTATTATTTAGTACGATAAAGAAATTACTCATCAGGTATCTCTCCTTCACGACCATTACATTTCCTCATTTCAAGGAATACTGCTTTAATATGAATTCAATTTAATACAATAACAGATCACCAGTAGCGCTAAATGGATTCATAACTAGATGATCTGAGATTTCTACCTTTTCTAACTCGTAGTTTATCGATAGCCGATGTTAACAAAAACGGTAACAAGTTATTCCTAATCATAACAATTTCAGACTTTGCCTTAGGTTAAATAGGAAAATAATTAATAGGACACTGGAGGATTATTAGTTGTATATATATATATATTTTTAGTACCGTAACTTTCCGCGGAATGGGTAGGTAATATATGTATGATATAGCGGTATTCGATAGGTTTACTCAACATATTTATTTTAATATCGTTATGATCGAGATGGCAAGAGAGGTAGAATATGATTATCGTACTTAGTTAGGAAAGACCTTATCATGAATAGTTTATTACGTAGAGTTACGCTGTTTCTCACCTTTAAATTAGGCCATGAATATACTAGACCATGATAATAGCAATGTGGATCCGCTGCCGTATTGCTATTCTTATGATGGACTAAATTGCCTTGGGCATTCTGGTAAATATGGCGATAGTTAGTTGGTAACAATTGATTGTTTCTTTCTAATCTGATCGTTAATCGATGTTGAGAAATCTTCATCGTTATCGATTGCAGGATTGATCGCCGATTGCTACCATTGCGAGTATAACGATAACTTAGTCGAACAACATATTCTAGACTCTTTAGCTGGTGATTAGAACTGGATGGATGGTTGGATGTATTTTGATTATTCCTAGTTTGGCTTACGAAATTGGCCCTGTGTCGAGGATTGACTAAAGAAGATGCATCTACTAATAGCAGTAAACAGCATAAACCAGTTACAAAAATCATGATGGAATTTGATGAAACCAAGAGAATTAAAGTATTTCGATTCATATCTGTAATAGTAATTTCTTTCCAAGCACTTTCAATATCGTGAAAGAATCATATCAGTTATATCTATATTATTTAATCGAGGAATTCGTTCAATATCATCTTACAAATTAGACAGAAAATATTTAAAGCACTGGACATGATGATCCGATGTTACTTTTAATCCTATCAGTTATCAGCATAGTTATCAGAATAAGATTCCAAATTAATTCATCTCAAGAGATATTTCCGAGGAAACTAGCAAGTCTGCCGCAATAAATTAGTTCAGTCGTTCCTCATTAATATATGCCATCAAGGAACCTTTGATTGATGATCATGTTGATGATAATGTTGGTGAATTTCGCCACTAAAATATTAATATCAAATTGGTAAATAAGAAATAAGTTTAAAGTCACTGGATGAAGGCAAGAAGAAATAAAAAAATGCAGTAAAAATTCAGCGTTTAAAAATTAGAAAAGCGCGCCTCACGTCAATTGAATACAATCACGAAATAAATCAAGACACTCCGAAAACATAGACGGAATTTTAAGCAGAGCGGTATAACTAAACTGTCGTTGAATAAGAGAAAATGTTTGATCGAATAGTAGTAATATATACTTTAAGTTTTCAAGGCTATATTATACTCGATAGACAATACTTCGGAGTCTGAAACAATACTAATGACAGTTTAATTTACATGATAATATAGAATGTCTTATTAGAATGCCTTGAATGATATTGCTTGTCACAATGATGGGATAAATTAAAATAGAATACAATGTTGATAGTCTATTTTCGATAGTGATCCTATGCTATTGAATGAAAAGCTGTGTTACCGTTTAGTATATTTAACGTATCGTATGAGAACTTATTCATCTGCAGATGCGGCAAATTCTCGAGGTACTCCGACTAAAGTACTAATTGGACTACTTCTACACAAATAATCAATACCTGATCGATAGCTGTTAGTCCTAGGTTGCTCTTTATTTGAGACCAAGTAATGATCCAAAATAACGTTGAATATTATTTGCCCTTACGGTCTAACTGAGACAATATAGATCACGGTGGATCTTACAACAGAACGTAACCAAATCAAACAGTGCACACGATGGTGCTTAGACTTCTCAAGCAATTATAATTACTTATGATTGTCGATAACTGGCAACTACTAGCTGCAACCCTGATGAGTTGACTGATTAGAATCGAATGTGTACCAATTAGGGCAACATACGTATGTTTGCTTCGGTGAGAAATCTTTACTCGGCTGATTAAATATACATTAAAGTATACTATAAGTAGCACGCATTAGTATGAAATCACCTTGAAGCATTTTTAGCGTTCATTTCTAATATTAGAGTAACATTCTACTTGATTTTAAGCCTGATATTGGTCTTGATTTAATATGTCGCTTTAGATTGTAAGGAAGGGGTTAACTATGTAACAGTTAAAATCATGCTATGAAGGCGTAACAATATTCTGAAATAACTTGTTATAAATAAACTGATCTCTTCAAATTGTCTCTATATATTATATACACGAGTGTATTTTTAAGCAATTTTTTAGCGTTTGCTTCTGTTATCATGTGCTATAATATTATTCTGTCAATTTTAATTTTAAGCGTGATAGAGACCTCAATTTAGGATCTGATTTCTGATTGTATAGCTTCAGCTATATATTAATTGAAACCATATTATAAGATTTAAGTAATTATTTGGATAATTTGTTGTGAATAAAGGCAATCGCTTTGAAATAATATATAATATAATTAACTTAAAGACTCTTAGTATTTGCTGCTGATGTCATATGTACCCGTAAATAACATTCTACCTGATTTTGAGCGTGATAACAGTTTTGATTGAATAAAAAATCGATCGGGTAATAATATCCTGCAGCTGCTATTAAGTTGAATTCCGGCTTTTCATATCCAGCGCTGACTCTCATCAACGTTTACCGTCTTAATTTACTGTAATGTCTAAATTATCAACATGAGATCATCATACTATAGTTCTGTGTTCATTGAGATAAATTTAATAATCAAGCTAATTAACACAAGCATTGCCGGTATAAGACAAGTCGGTTGATTATCTTCTAGTCTGATCTCTTACTGGGTCTTACTATAACAAATAAGTTCGCATGATGGCATGTAACAATATTAAGCAATATTAGCGCAAATCATACAGATTTTTTTGAGGTGTATTATTATACTTACCATACATAACTACCTTACTTTCGATGGGTTATTATATTACAAAATCAGATTATCTATTTCTATCATTCCCCATTTTACAGTAGAGTAATACTAGTAATATTTAGAAACGGCTGAGCTGTTTTTGAAAAATTGACTTAAAAACATTACGACGTACTTGATTTAATTTGGGATTAAAGTTTGAAAGTGGCTACGTATACATGCATCTGAACTAAGATCGGTAGGCGTGCAGCAGGGGTTTAGCAATAATTTAAATACAAGATAAGATAACTTTAAATTGCAAACATTTATTGAAGTAGTTCAAACAGTAGTTAATTATGATAATTAATTATATAATATAATCGATAATTTCTATCCAATTACTATTATAATCGTACTTTAAATAGAGAATTAATCATTTACATATAAAATGGATTATAAAAGTAGTAATAAGGATAGTAAACGACTAAAGTTGTGTGTGGTATTACTGCATCTTAGCAGTTAATACGAAAACGGTAAGTTAAAAACTGCGGTTAATCTAACGATTACCTCTATCATCGACAATTTTTATCAAGTATGTTGATACGGTACTTAATTAACAGTCAGGATAGACTAAAATACTCGTTTGATAAAATAAGCGAAAGAAAATAAAAAATAATGAGTTCAGGCCAAGAAAAATTTAAACATTAGATGTGTGCTATTAAGTCCAAGCATTTTAGAACAATTTTTATAAAATTGATAAAATAAATGGCTAACAGTCTACACCAAAATTGAAATTGATTACTACATGATCACATGGTTCTTGATATACAGCTTCCATTCCTCCCTTTAACAAAGCTCTTGCTACCATTATAAACTAATACTACGACAAGATATTTGACCTTGCAACGCTTAGGTATACCGTAAGTTGTCAAAATGTTATATTAAGCTTCGTAAATATAAACAGGCCAGGATAGTACTATATCATAAGCTAATTCTAATAAATACTGTTGATTACATCGAAAAAAAAGGTCAAAAAAATATCTAATAACTGAGATAAAATCGAACCATGACATTAAAAATAAGAATACCATTCTATCAAGTAAAAAAATCCAATCGGCATCAATATCTTGAAAACTAAACATTGATAGGCTCGCTGTTTTCATTAGGTCCCGCTTCGTTTGATTCTCCTTGTGGCATGCTTTCGGTTGCACGATGTACTGGCTTTTCAGTTACATTTTCCAATTTTTCGGTAGCTGAAATTGCTTCAGTTTCAGATTTCATAGAAGCGATACCTACTTCAGTGACCGATTGCTTCTTGGTGGTGGCAATGTTAGCTTGAGTTGCTGGCAACTGTGTAGTCTTGACAGTTTCAGTTTGGCTTTGGGTAACCTCGACGTTATTAGTTGGATTCATTGTCGATGTTGGACGTTGTGTAGTCTTGACAGTTTCAGCTTGACTTTGGGTAACCTCGACGTTGTTAGTTGGATTCATTGTCGATGTTGGACGTTGTGTAGTCTTGACAGTTTCAGCTTGGCTTTGGGTAACCTCGACGTTATTAGTTGGATTCATTGTCGATGTTGGACGTTGTGTAGTCTTGACAGTTTCAGCTTGACTTTGGGTAACCTCGACGTTATTAGTTGGATTCATTGTCGATGTTGGACGTTGTGTAGTCTTGACAGTTTCAGCTTGACTTTGGGTAACCTCGGCGTTATTAGTTGGATTCATTGTCGATGTTGGACGTTGTGTAGTCTTGACAGTTTCAACTTGGCTTTGGGTAACCTCGACGTTATTAGTTGGATTCATTGTCAATGTTGGACGTTGTGTAGTCTTGACAGTTTCACCTTGGCTTTGGGTAACCTCGACGTTATTAGTTGGATTCATTGTCGATGTTGGACGTTGTGTAGTCTTGACAGTTTCAACTTGGCTTTGGGTAACCTCGACGTTATTAGTTGGATTCATTGTCGATGTTGGACGTTGTGTAGTCTTGACAGTTTCAACTTGGCTTTGGGTAACCTCGACGTTATTAGTTGGATTCATTGTCGATGTTGGACGTTGTGTAGTCTTGGCAGTTTCAGCTTGGCTTTGGGTAACCTCGACGTTATTAGTTGGATTCATTGTCGATGTTGGACGTTGTGTAGTCTTGACAGTTTCAACTTGGCTTTGGGTAACCTCGACGTTATTAGTTGGATTCATCGTTGATGTTGGAGGCACAGGGTGAAATTTGCAAGTCTTAGGATTGCAGCCTAATTCAGTACATTTCATTTTTGATGCACATTCGCATTGTTCATCTTTTTCGACGATTCCGTTGCCGCAAACCGGTTTAGGTTTAGGGATTGATGGCTTATTAGTAAGGCATTGACCAACTCCTTCTTGGAAGGCCTTCTTTAAATCTTTAACGCTGCAAGGTGAAAATGACAAGGCTGGAGGACCGTTAATTTGAGACGACATGATGCATCCCTTGGTAATTTCATTATTTTTTCTACAGCTGCAGTGACCATATCGATCTGTTCTCATTCCTAGATTGTGACCAATATTACGTGCCATGAAGGCAGCTGCTCTAGCGATATTCTCGAAAGCGTAGTTTGCTCCGGTAGAATAATATTTGCACATCGTGGATTGCCAAGCACGTCCTAATTATTAAAGAAATAGACGATTTTACTTAAGGCTAGTCTGGAGCTAGAACGCGCATCTGCAGATAAAGTCATCTAATCTTTGCTAAATCTGATTAGATTAAAATTTATTTGGACAATTTTGGGTACCTGCTCCATCAGTGAAGATGATACCAGTCAACAACTGCACGTTATCATTGGAGATATTTTTCAAGAAACCTGTAGATCGATACAAGCTGAGTCTTTGTAAAGTGGTTTTCGAATTACGGCTAATAGCAATCTCATCCTTAACATTCCAGGTGACCATGCCGACCAAAGCTACTCGTATGTTAATTGCCTTATACATTGCATCAACTAAGTTGACAATCTGTGAAAGTAGGAAAAAAGTTTGTTACCAGACATGGCTAAATATATATTAAACGAGCTATAAAATATACTATGTTGAAAGGATGGCTAATATTCAATAAGGTACCTGAATAGCATGATTTTCAACTGCCTTTAAGTTACCATCTAAGTTATCTACAAATCTTTTGTCATTAACGATAACTAATTCGATAAATTTGGTCTTGCGGACTGTTCGGCGTCTCATGCGACGTCGTTCCTTTTCATCATCTTCGTGTTCTTCTTCATTTTCACGTTCGTCATCATACTCATCTTCATGTTCATTATGTCCTTCTGGATCGTCTTCATTTTCATCCTCATGTTGCTCTTGTGAAGTTCCATCTGTGGATTCAGAAAGAGGATCAGGATATTCATCTCCTTCGAATTCCTCTTCGAAGATAACATGCTCTCCTTCAATATCATTTCTTTCATTGCGCGGTTCGACAATGAAGACCTTGTTATCAAACATGACCATTCCGTTCAATCCATTGCATGCACTTAGGATAACTTCGCTCTTCAACGGTACAGTCTATAAAAGTAAAATAATTCTATGCATTAATTACTACGAAAATCATGTCAAACTAATCTATATATTAAACGATATTATTGCTGTAGACATAGACTTAAAATAGAAATGAATAAGATGTATACTTGAATTAAATTTTAGAGTATAGTAAAAATGTGCAGTATTGATCTTAGGTAAGAAAAGAGATGCAAGCTGATTTAATGTTATAAAAGAAAATCTCAACTCTTCAGCTACTAATATACTAGTATCAAAATACATCTGTAGAAAATTAATGCCGATGTCATTTAAATAAACAACGACGATCAATGATGAATAAATAAGTTAACTACAAGACCTCCCTCTAAGAGTGGCTTTACTATTCTATATATTAGAGATATTTTGAATAGCGCACTCATCGAAAAACTGCTCAACTACAAGCCAATCATTTTATAGCAATCGAGCTGCGGTAATGATTATCAAAATAAATAAACTGGAAATTTTATCCCACCTCATTAGTTGGACTAAACCAGAGGAGTCGACCTTGATAATGGCAGAGCTCAGTCGATCCTTGATAACGTTCAATGCTACCTTGCTGATTCTGAAAGGTATGTTGAAAATTGTTGGCTACAAGTTGGCGATTCAAAACCAATTCAATGCGGTATCGACCTCCAAAAACGTGAGCGTCGATGTGGGAAATGGTGGAAATGCGGTTGGCTTGGTTATCCCTATAGTAAATTTGAGGGCGGAAAATTTGATAGACCTTGTCCGGCATATGATTGGATCGCTTCCTATTGGCTGGTATTACAGCACCTGATACCAGTATGCAGCTATGCATGCAAACGATAAATGCAATGAACAAAAATCGAGACATGGTAATGCAGAAGTTCTTCTTTCAGGAGGATAAACTGAGAGGAAAAATAAAACAGGAAACATTAAGAAATAAAAGGCTTATGAGTTGTGGCTCTTATTCTGAAATATCCTCACAATTCTTCACATTACAGTTACTTGTATCAGTTTACATAACAACGCAAATTACTACAGTATTCTAGCGAAAGTAGATTTATACAGCTTACATCGCCGCTACTTAAAATTAGTTTAACAGAGTTATAAAATAGTGATGCAGCTATTTGATACAATAAATTTAGTTATACTATAATAGAGTAGGTTTTAAGTTTAAATCTATATGCTTGAAGTACAGCATATTGAAACTGAGCCATAACTTATAGTAAACTAAGAATATCTTAGATAATGAAAAATTTGGCAGCTACATAGGTCAAAAATTAAGTTGTAATACCTAATGATCTTGAAATGGCGTAAGTTTTAATTTAAGGAATCGAGTGCTTTGAAGAATCCGATTTGTTTCTTCTTGTAAGAGGTGATTTCACAACTTGTTCGCTCAACTGTGAGATCTGAAGTTTGCTAGCGAAGTCGATGAGATTTTATAACATTTTGCAAAAGCAACCGCTGTGAACTATCTCCGAAGGGGGCAAACAAAATCGTTAAAGTTGACAGTTCCATTCATGGTAAGCAATGTTATATGAATTTTTTTTCAGATATAATGCTATCTATCTATAGCGATTTATAATTATTAAGATCAACAATTGTGGAATGTTGTTTATAGTATCCTGAAGATTTCTCGATAATTTATATTGATATTGTTATATTAAGAGTTTTAACTATTTTTATTATAATTGTTGGAGTAAAATCTATTCATTTATTGTAACGTAGGATTCTAATCACGGTGCCTTACTATATGCTCAACTCTTGCTTATTAAACCAACATACATACATGCAATTTTTATTTAATTTAAAAATTTGAGCTAATAGATACAACTGCAGATAGTTATTGTAAAGTTATAGATTGACTATAGTAAAATAAGAAGGCCAATGCGGACACTAGAGTTTAATGGAATAATTTGTAATTTCTTAGCGTGCTAATTTAGTTCAAAATGCTTTTGCGTCTTCAGAGTTGTTTTTGATGTTACGATAGTATACAGTAAAAGCTCAAATAGCTCACAAAGCGCTATAACATTTTGTTTATTGACTTATCCAACTGACCTTTGCAAATTATTTATAAAATAACGATATTGTACTTTGACATTACTGTTTACTTTAGTAAGATTTTTACATTTACAAATCTTTACTGATGCTATCTGTACTTTAATTTTTTGATCTATTATATAGTTTGATTATAAGCTATATTATCGTACAAATGTTTCATAAAATATGTCACTATCTATTAGCCATAAATTGGTAAACTTAGAGCTATTATTCATGTACGGAATTGCGTTAAAAATGAATTTACAATATCTAACGTAGTGCTGATTTCATTAAAAATAGTGAAGATAAACCAAGAGTAAAATATATAAATGATCATACAACTTGCGTTTATTTAAAGTAATTAGATCTTACCTTCTAATATTATTTAATTATTTATCATGCACATATGACTTTTAACATACGTAATTGCGGTAAAATGTTCATGCAGAACAAGCATTCAGTGGTATGCTAATTACTTAATTATCATAACTCAGCGGAAACTATCTCTAGCTATAATACTGATTTCCTGATCAATGCTATGGGAAATACTTTGACCTCATTACAATGATTGATTATCATTCTACAATGATGCATTTGGGAGGCGTGGAATGATTCGTTATTCCTAGAACGTATTTTTTACAATTAAGATTGCGTATTAATTTAATGTTAATATATGCAGTTGACATGAAATGATAGCCTCATTTCGTGCATTCCAATTCCGTACTGCTGAGGATTAAGTAATAGTGACATCATAGGTATCTACGTATTTTCAAACAGTTTGATGGATAATTTAATTTAAGTAGTGATTATGATAGGAAAAATGATGATCGATTATGTTATCGTATAATTAAGAAGCTAATACGTAAATAAATCATCAAATACAAGAATAATGAAGTAGCTATTGGATTATCATTATTATTATGTTCATTTTATAAGATAAGCACAAGGTTGGGAAAAATTAAATGAGATTAAATAGTAAAGGTATTACTATTCGAAGGTCAGTTCATGATTGATCAATATTAAAAAAAATGATTGAATCTAATTTATTACTTTTTCTTAGTGAATGTAATGCTGGCACCAAATTTTAAGGTTTAACTCTTTAGAGGATACTAATTTTTTTCCACAGTGTTGTAGTACAAAAATAGATACTATTGGAGTTATTTGAAACAGTTTTCGTAACTACATATTAGCTACTGTTAAATTCAAATTCTGAATAGCTGTTTAGTAGTGAAATTTATCGAATTATCTGCAATTTATATTGATATCATTTCTGTATTACATTTCTTTTGACAGCGAAGTTGGACTAACGCACTAGCACCTTAATTTATCGATGTAACGTGATCCTTTAATAGAATGTAAATTATAAATAATTCTTATTTGTTTCCTATAATTTATTTAAATTAATAATTCAAAAGATAAAAGTAATTAGATGTTTTTGATTTTTACAGAATGAATGAGATTGGTGGTACACTGCTGTTTATAGTGCGTATTTTTATTTATTTAGATAAAGTTATCTAAGTGCATGATACTAAGATATCACCGAAGGCAACCGCATTAAGAATATTTGAATTTTAGTCCAATTAAGGAAATAAAATTTTAATGCATTAGATATTTTTACTAATATCTATGGCTTAGTTTGCTAGTATGATACTGATACTAATACGTAGTACTTTACTCATAGGTTCACTAGGCTTATACGAGGTGCTAAAGTTCTTTATGCCCTTTAGTATGTTGAAATAAATTTCGAACTTGAAATATCATCATGTTTTCACTGCAAATATACTGATAACTACTCCATAGCTAATCAGTACTGTATTGGCCTGATTACACAGTGTAAGAATTACGCTCTTATTATATTGGTATAAGATAGAATTTTTAAGTAAACCCAATATCAACACTTTATTGACTAAATC